CACACCCACCCACCCCCCCCACACACACCACCCCCCCCCCACACACACACCACCCCCCCCCCCCCCACACACCCCCCCCCCCCACACACACACACACCCCCCCACACACACCCCTCCCACACCCCCCCCCCCCACACACCCCCCCCCACACACACACACACCCCCCCCCCCCACACACACACACACCACACCCACACCCACACACACACACACCACACACACACACACACACACACACACACACACACACACACACACACACACGCACGCACACACCACACACACACACACACACCACACACACACACACACACCACACACACACACACACACACACACACACACACACACACACACACACACACACACACACACACACACACACACACACATGTGCTTGTACTTACTCACTGCCAAATTAGTGTGTGGAAATTCAAAAGGAATCTTGGAAAGATTCGCCATTGAACTGGCCAACGGCCGACACCCCTGAAATCCCCAAACTCTGGGTGGACTTGGAAATGATCACACTTATGGGCTCATCATGCCGCAGTAAGTGGGTGAGGACAAGGTACAGAAAAAGGATTGACGACGTCAGGGTATCCGTCACGGTATCCAACTGCAGTTACCCCTGCCCTCAGTAAAGGTAATACTTGCTAATAGCGTGGGTGGCCAAATTCGAGTGGATCTGGTATAAGCATCACTAGCACCATTGATTACACAACACACGTACACACACGCACACAACACATGTACTTGTACCGTAAAGTCCGCTGCAAACGCCCACCCCATTTTTGCAAGATCTGCTGGCCTGTACTGTACACTGACCGCATGCACTGTCATCTTCACTGTGCAAAAGTGCATCTTACACCGTAGCGCGAAGAGCGCTTTGCTACGGTAAACTATGTCCACTTTCCTTGTTTCAAGATCTCTTTGGGCATTAGCCACGAGCTAGCTCGTAGTGATTTTATGATGATGGTTGTTTTGTTTCGCAAATCCAAACGGGAGTTTCTTCCCAATAACAAGGTAGTGAAGAACAGAGTATCGCAGGAACCAAATACACTTCTGTCGGTGTATCAAGCCATCATTTCCAAATCACACAACGCTCAAAGGCAAGTGTTTTTCTCGAGCACTTCAGAGTTTTCAACAAGTTAGCAGCGATTTGTAGGTGTAGCTTCTGTGAAATCCCCCCTGTTCGACTTGCAACTGCAATACTGCGACCAATCAAGTCGTTGAATGACGCTTCGGCAGTACAATCACTGTTCCGTTTTGAAAGCGCGACATCGTGGCACTGCAGAAATTTCATGAAAATCAGATGGATTCTACGGCATTACCGCATGGAGAGCGAACCACCACAAAGACTACTCATTTATCGAATGAAAGGAAATTTCGACAGACTTTTTTCTCTGCAGCAAAATAATGACAATCGCTTTTGCAGAGCCTCCTGGAAAGACATAGGCAGTTTGTAGGCATTGCAGCCGTGTTCGTACGCATTCGACCTTCATGCCAGTTTTCTACAACTATAATTGAACTGAAAAAGACGGAAATAGTATGGACCCGCTGGGGTGGGCGTTTGTAGCGGACTTTAAGGTACTTGCTCACTGCCAAAACTGGTCATGTGGGTCTCCCCGGGAGAGGGGAGAGAGATTCAAAAGGAATCTTGGAAAGATGACTCAATTGGCTATTGAACTGTCCAATGGGCGGCACCCCCTGAAATCACCAATATCTGGGTGGACTTGAAAATGATCCCACTTGTGGGTTCACCACAAAGCAGTAAGTGGGGGAGGACAAGGTGCAGAAAAAGGATTAACGGCACCAGGGTATCTGTCCCGGGATCCAACTACTTCGAAGTACATTAATACTAGAACTACCAGAGGCATCATATGATGCATTTCCGAATTTCAAAATGGGATTGCTGTGATATGGGATGTTAGAATCTCCCCAGATTTAGTGACTTTTATTCCCGTAGCTATGCAGAAGACGTTACGTCAGTAACGTCTGGCGCTAGCCAGGGTCCACACAGCTTTAATTTGGTGTTTGTTTGTTTGTTTGTGTGTTTGTGTCACGCCTGGCGCTATCCCGTATCTGTCCCGTACCGTACCATCAAACACAGCTGGCCACATACAACTGGCCGCACTATTCAAATAGGGCTTTCAAACGCAAGATCATAACGTGAAGCAACTTGGAAGAATGAGTACGAGTATGAATGCGAAGTGTATGGGGGAATGCATGCAGGGCGATAGTGCGGGTTCGAATCCCAGGGAATGCCTGAAAAAAATTGAAAAATTGAAAAATGTATAAAATCCCTATTCTTTTTTTGCCGTCATCAAGGCGGTAGATGGTGTCGTAATACCCTCGACCGTACCTGTCCCGTACCGTACCGTACAATCAAAGACGGCTGGCCACAATGCATATTCAAATAGGGCTTTCAAATACAAGATCATAACGTGAAGCAACTTGAAAGAATTAGTATGTATACCAAGTGTATCGGGGGATGCATGCAGGGCGATAGTGCGGGTTCGAATCCCAGGTTATGTCTAAAAACAAAAAGTAGAAATTTATAAGAATTTATAACATCCCTATGCTTTTTTTTCTAGGTCATCAAGGCAAAAAAGCATAGCGTAGGGCCCTGAGCTTCCAAGCTCTCTCGTTTATTTTGTATTATGTTAGTGGCAGTGGGCTGTATCTCCAAAAATTGAGTACTGTTCTAAAATGCCAGGCGGTACTGCCTAGAATAACCGCGCGGCATCATATGATTCAACTTACTACAGGCATCTATAAGAGGGCGAATTTGGCTCAGAAACACACGTGAATAGCATAAAGAGGAATACGTTGAGGAGCAAGTAGATGGGGGACCATGAAGGTGGTAATTTGTACATATGGAAATGCTAATATGCATACCGTATTTTCCCGGTTGTAAGTCGACCTTTCATGACTAAAAATCGAAGGAGAAAGGGTGGGGGTCGACTTACAACCGGGATTCGATTTATAACCGGGAACTATCAGTGTTAAACAAATGGCCTGCACTGCATGCACGAGTGCACCGTGTGTACACATTTGGTTCAGTTTATTGGCCTTTTTCAAGGATTGGGACGTTATACCCTGCAATAATGAATGTTTACATGATTTGTTGATGTGTTAGTAGCAGGGAGTAGTTAGTAGTGCTTTGTTGGGTGAAAACTTTAAAACGCAGAACTGAGACCTCCGGATACGGGGTCGACTACAACCGGTAAAATACGGTATTTCACGTGAATTTATGGTCAATATCGTTATCCTGAATCCTGTCGAATCAGACAAATTTGTTCGCCGGAAGTGGTGGAAAGTGATCCACTATAGTATCATCTGCAGCATTGAACAATATGAAGTGACAGCGCAGGTATAATATTCTTGGAACTTCCTTTGAGTTTAGGTCGGTGTGGCGGAAGCCATGTTCGGCAAGCGTAGTGTCGCTGCCGAAAGCATTTCATTTGATTTTGAAAAAATTCTGGACAGGAGTTTGGAGATGAATGCGAGGAGAGTGACTGGATCATTGTGGGCGAAGAATTAAAAGTGACCGAAACAAAAGAAACACATAGTTATATGCTCCAGATGAAGATGAGTGAATGCTAATTGCCACGGTTTCTCGATGAGTCTGATACGGGATCCTACTCGAGGGAGCAAGTGGATAACGGTGGTGATAAAGCTATGGAGCCATTCCCTAAACAGAACACCAACCTCCAAAACTCGGGTAGGACTCCCATGAAACTGTGCTCTCTGGCAAAGTTGGTAGATACTGGAAATACCAAGCAAGCCCGAAAGCACGCAACCGGTTGTTGCTTCGGAAGTTTGCGGGCTTTTTCGGGATATTCACAATTTTGAAGTTGGGGCAGATGCATTATTCTCATTTATTGACCAGAATATGATCCATGTCATGATCAAATGCACAAGGCAGGAAGGAAAACAGAAAATTGAAGGGGACTCTTCTTTGAGTGAAGGCAATATCATGGCATTGGTTTCTCAAATTTCCGCAAGAGGCGTCCTCTGTGCCCGCAATAATCTGCCGACGGCTCTTCGGCTGGATAGGAATGGACGCCATATAATCAATTAAAATCCCTAAAAATTGTTTCCAGGAATTACTCTGCTACTTGAGGCTTGATCACGAAGATGGTCTCCGGACACGACGGCGAACGGAAATTATTTGTTTGCTATGAGCCGCGACACCACTTTCTTCTTTCGCTCATAAATATATTTATCACAGCAGTCAAAGCACCCAGCGAAGGTTATACTTGCTACTGAGTGTGGGTGGCCAAATCAGAGTGGATCTGATATAAGCTTCTCTAGCACCATTAATTGGCAAGAGTTAATCTAGCCGGAAACAGTCCAGGGCCAATAGGTATGTATGCTTCAAATAGAAAGTATATGAACCTTGAAACCAACAAAGGTGGCAGATACAACATTACACCTTCAAGCAGCCGAGCCCGTTGGCATTAGGCCCAACATTATCTGGCACAAATGTACCCACCAACCGAACTACCTGGCACACACACACACACACCTGTCCTGTCCTGTAGAGCCACTACCACTAGGGTCACATGGGCCCTGGAGAGGCAGCAGAGAGAGAGAGAGATCAGGAGCACGCCACCTTATGGCGCTCCGGATGCGAGACTAGCCGGAACCGGCGAGAGCTGTACTTGTATGACTGTACCGTTGAATATGAACGAAACAGCTGTGTTCGCGAGAAATAAGAACGGGCTAGGCTAGAACCCTTGTCCCCAGTTCTTTGGCGCCCGACAGTACTGTAGACCTTGAGACTCGTGTTCTGTTTGTGTCCATTGCTCAGCAAAAGTTGCATGGTTAGAGCGTATACACTGCGTCTTCCTTTCCTGTCTTTTCTCGCTTGTGTGTGTCTGGCAACGGCAAGCATTGTACTGCTTGGCTTTATACTATGCTAGCATTGTACTGCTTGGCTTTATACTATGCTCCGCACGCCATGCATCTCTCCTTGGTTGTGTGCATTTCTGCAGGAGTCATCTGGATGAGGTAGGCTGAGTCGCTCGGCAGCCAAGGTAAGCTTCCAAAATATTGTGAGAGCAGAACATCATGGACACATGCAGGGGCGTCGGAAGGTTTTTTAGTGTGGTACGGTCAGCCATCTGAAGTACAATTTAATCGTGGTGAGGGGTGGCTAAGCCGAAAATTTTGGAAATTTAGATCCCAGATCAGCGTATTTTATGGGTTCACGGGGGCACCTGGGGTGAAAGGTGGTACAGTCAATGCCGCAGAGACGGTACCGTGTCCGACGCCCCTGACATGTAAGAGAAACAATTGCAACAAAAGGCCAGTGTCTCTTGTGTGTTCTTCTTGGTGGTCATTCCTTGGCAAGCTTATGATCACCAGAACCGAAAAAGTGTACAGTTAGTTGTATGGCATTAATTGTGCAGCCAGGGTTTCAAGGGTTTCTGGACGGGTGTCGCTCCATTATATGCATGCGATTATAATGTATTTATGTCCTACCCTGTCCTACTCAACATGCACAGTACAAGCGCAATGTACCATGATCACAAACACCGCATCCTTGTTCAGTTCAGACAGGTAGACATTTCAGATAGCGAAAGAAGAAGTATAGTCAAGATCCAGAACAAGAAGATCACAGAAAAGAATTTTCACACATGAGCACAAACAAATCATGATATCAAACATCACAAATGCACATGCGCAATGCACAATGCAAAATAATTATGTCATACATCACACACACGCACGCACGCATGCATGCACGCACACACCCGCACACACACACACACATACATTGCAATATGGTGTCATACATCACATGTATGTATGTACATGCAGGCGCGTAGCACCGCCGTTGCAGGCGGTCCGGTTGGAGGGGGTCTGGGGAAATTTTTGAAATTGAGGTGCAAAATCCTGAATTCTGGGCACTTCTGGGCGAAAAAGTGGCCGAAAAAGTGGTCCGGCCAAAGGCGGACCGGCCTGATCGGCTGCTATGCCCCTGACATGTATATCCCATAAGCATTCTGGCCGTAGGGCGCCATGTGTGTCATACATCACACATACACACTGGAATCATGTGTGTCATACATCACACATACACACTGGAATCATGTGTGTCATACATCACACATACACACTGGAATCATGTGTGTCATACATCACACATACACACTGGAATCATGTGTGTCATACATCACACATACACACTGGAATCATGTGTGTCATACATCACGCATACACACATGTGTGTCATACATCACACATACACACATGTGTGTCATACATCACACATACACACATGTGTGTCATACATCACACATACACACATGTGTGTCATACATCACACATACACACTGGAATCAGGGTGCATGTACTACTGTCTGCAAAACATGAGCCGCATCAGAACTAATAGTACCAGGATGGCTAGACAAAGGTTCACTGTCACTATAGTAACAGGATGGCTAGACAAAGGTTCACTGTCACTATAGTAACAGGATGGCTAGACAAAGGTTCACTGTCACCAGCAAACAATGCTGTAGTCTGCTTGGAAAATCTTTGACGTACAGTCCACTTTTTCAGCCTCACTTTCTCAACCGGCCGGTTTCCCCTCTAGTAGTAGGTTGGATTGCCCAGGCACTGTGCTCCCCTCGCCACTTGGTTTGTTTGAATTCCTTTTTCTCACGATGGCACCATTGCCAATAAGAGATACGTTAATGGGAAGGTGAGATGCTCTGGGTGGGGCTGCGGGTTATGGAGTTGGAAAGGAATTTCCGTGGGGAACTTTTACAGCGGTCGGTTCTGGTGGGTGGGAAGTGCCAAGTGCGGGTGTGTCAAAGGCTGTACTGGGGCGTAACTTGAATGGGGGTGTTGAGCATGCGTATGTGTTGTAGGGCATATTGGTATTCCATGGAGTGTGCAAGAAGGCCGGTGAGGTTTACTTTGTGGCAAGAGAACATTGTCGGCCATTTGAGCCGATGGAGCAGTACTGAATGATTCAGAGGAGTGAAGAGGGGGAGACGGAGGCAAGTTCTGGCCACCTTGCTGGTTGGCATGGGGTGTGCAAGAAGGGTGAGCTTTACTTTGTGGCAAGAGAACATTGTCGGCCATTTGAGCCGATGGAGCAGTACTGAATGATTCAGAGGAGTGAAGAGGGGGAGACGGAGGCAAGTTCTGGCCACCTTGCGCTGGATTCGCTCAAGGCGGTCAAGGGCTGTGATTGAGAGCGCGGCGACAGTAATGCATTCATATTCAATTATAGGCATGATATGTGTCTTGTAAATGAGAGAGAGTGGTTTGAGCCTGCATTCCTGAAGTTACAACTGGCATTCCCCTTTCACATCATCTGGGTCCGATTACACTCAAACGTCTCGGGGACGCCTCAGATACGGGCCCCTCAACTTGAGTTCCTATGGCAAAATGCTATGAATTTTGGGGGGGGGGGGGTTGAACCTTTTTTCGTATGCACAAGTGCTTATTTGTCACTGCCAACCTATGTAATCTAAACATTTTTTTATCAACGGATTCTATTCACGGGCAGAAAGCTACGAGCATGGAGATAAGTAAATTATTCTCTGCTTTCAACAGCCCTGAGTAAGTTGTTTATGGAAATGTGTCTTTTTTCTTTTGTCCACCAACTTCTGCACACCGGTAGGTATTCCAGGACTGTATGGTGGTCAGAGTCAGAATAGGAGCCATGTATGGCCAGACAGGTGAGAAATTGTTCATTTCTAACGACTCGCACCCAGTTATCATTTTTATTGTACTGTCACTGATATGATTTTTGGTTTGCTTGTGGGCCGCTGGCACTGGCAGGTAATGCCTAAATTTTTCCATGCTTTTATTGGCTTGAGGTCCAGGTCCGGAGTCACGGGGAAAAAGCCCTAAACTTGGAGATAAGCTATTCTCGGCTTTCAGCAGCCGTGGGTCAGTGGTTTATACCAATGTGGCTCTATTCTTTTCTGCGCTACCTTTTCCCTTTTCCCGCTATTGCAGGAATTGACGGTGGTTACTGTCAACCATGGAGTTGTGAATGGCTAGAAATTTGGGAAATGATGAATTTTGACAACTCGCGCACAGCTATCATTTGCAATGTACCTTCTCTCTCACACCTGACATTTGCAACAGCAAAACCACAGTGCAGGGTCGGCTGCGGACAGCCAAATTCTGTCATTTGCAATGTACCTTTGCATAACTGGGCGCAGCTGCAATGCGAGTGCTGGAATTGATTAGATTTTTGGTTTGCTGGTAGGCCGCTGGCACTTGCAGGTAGTGCCCCAGGAAAGACATGCTGTTATTGGCTTGAGCTCCAGGTCTGGAGCCACAAGCAGAAAGCCGCAAACTTGGAGATAGGTTGTTTTTGGCTTTCAGCAGCCCTGGGTAAGTGGTTTATATCAATGTGGCTCTTGTCTTTTGTGCACTACCTTTTCCCGGATATAGCAAGAATTCACGGTGGTCACTGTCAATCATGGAGCTGTGAATGGCCAGAATGGTGTGAAATAGTGAATTTTTTTTCGCTCAGCTGCCATTCACAATGTACCTTCTGTGTAACTGGGCGGAGCTGCAGTGTGAGTGCTGGAATTGATTATATGTTTCGTTTTCTGGGAATGTGGCCATGCTGTAATTGGCTGGAGGTGGCGAACGCAGTGGCAGCATCGACATCTACAGAAGCAGCACCAGCAGCAGGATCTGATCTGCATGGAATTGTCTTCCATCTTTATTTATTTATCAGCGAGGAGCAGCAGGCAGCCTTCATTCCATAATGGTGATTGCATAATCACATGGTAAAAGCAAAAGAATTCAACACTACTCTGTGGTACTCTGTAAAGCAGAAATGTCTTAAGTTGTATTTTGTTCAGGTCACTACTAGTACTGTATATCATCTCCCTGGAGAAAACGCAGCTAGAATTCTGGAATTATCGTTAATGCAGACAACTGAAGTTGCAATCACTGTTTGCTGGATCATTTGACATTACTGCTGTAAAGGGCTTTCGACCCATCGCCTAAGCTCCTCCAGTCCAGTCTCGTCTTTAATGCTCAATTTGAACAGAGACAAGTTCTTCCTGTTAACGTAGCTGGCAATATAGTCGAGATGGAGTGCCTCCTTCAACTCCTCGTTTTTCATGTATAGAGCTGCATCCCTGAAGTTTAGTACCAAGACAAAACATCACCACAACGACAGCAGCAGCAGCAACAAAAACAGCAGCGCAACCAAGAGCAGAAAAAACATAGTGAGAATAAACATTTGAAAACGACAACAACGACAACTGGCAGCCACAGCCATGACACCACTGACACCGCCACCGACAACAACACCAACAACAGCCCTCGTCTGTGCCAGCAGCTCTGCCGCCACTGCGAACTGCAACTGCAGAGCAGTGTGTCAGCCGCCGCTGGACGTTTGGGGCGCTGGCACATCCTAATCAACACTGCAAAAACGGTAGTTCTCACCTTCTACAACGGAACCCCCCCCCCCCCTTCTTGCATACTCCATAAAATACCAATATGCCCCACAACACATACGCATGCTCAACGCCCCCGCTCAATTTACGCCCCAATAGCCTTTGACACACCCGCACTTGGCATCTCCCACCCACCAGAACCGACAACTGTAAAGACTCCCCACTGAACAAATCCCTAGAATACAACAATGCCCTCCCTGCTAGCATTCGTGATATTCCCTCCCGACCTGCTTTCAAGCAAGAAATTTACTCACTTCTTATTAACTCAATTGGCTCCAGCAGGGCTCAACCTCTCCCATACTTGTAAAATTCAAAGTGACGTAAATTACTTTCCAACTGCATAACCCGCAGACCCACTCACAGCATCTCACCTTCTCATAAACTTAAAGGGGAAGTGCATCGATTTTTCAAGTAGGGCTCAGATGAAAGACAATTGGATATCGGTTCCGATGGTATATCTCTCGCTTGCGTACGGCAAGGGAAACTTGCCATATCGCCGATTTCCCGATCCCGTTTCCATGGCGACTACAGGTGATGACGCACATTCTGCTTAGCTCCGTGAGATCGAGAGAGAAGGTCGATCACTGCAGAATTGTGTCATTTTCAGTTGTCTTCTTGTATTCACGAAGTGAAAGAAGTACTGTGTTCAATGCTGTTAGTGCCGTGAACTGTTTATCAGTAGTCCTCTCCGTTGTGTACTGGGACGTGACACCGACAGGGGAAAGCTGGAGTGCGGAGACGTTAGCTGGCAAGCGAAAATCGTGACGAACCAAGTGCTGAAATCTTGGTTGGGACAAATCAAACGTTCAGCATTTACCTCAACCAAGGACCATGCCGTTTGCTCTTTCCACTTCCTGAAGATGGATGCGCTGCCTGCTAAAGACTCTCCTATCTCTCGTAACATCTTCTGAAGCCAGGTGAGACGACGAGTAGCGGAGATTAGCGAACGAAATAATGTCGTATGTTTTGAAATTTTTGCTGAAAATTTCTCAGGAGAGATGGCGAATACCAAGCATCTTCTTCTAGTCTAGAGAAACCATTTCGTAGGCTACATTCCGCCTAGGGAAATGCAGGAGACGGCCTGGCTGGGGAGGAGAACGAAGTAAGTGATCTTGTTTATGTTGTTCTTTGGTATTGCAATCTTATGTTTGACGAACATACGGCATGGTGCATAGTTGGTCGTTGAGTGCCTGCATGTGCATGTAGAAGTGTGTGCTGATAAACACTTCCTAACACGTTATGCAAGAATGTGACACTCATGCTCTCTTTCTTTCGTGCAGTATGTGCTCACGTGTGTGTGTGTGTGAGCGAGAGAGAGTGTGTGCAGGAGCAGCGTGGAGCATGCCAGTGTGATCGCTGTGGCCGTTGCTTTCTTAGCTATGGCGTTCTTGCCCGTCACAAGTGTGTGGCTCAGCCCCCAACGACAGTGGAGCCGTGTTGTGGTGAATACTGTGTGTCCTGCGACCGCTGCTTCCGTTCGGTCCAGGGCAGGAATAGACACCGCTGCTGAAGCTCTCCGCGGCTGTACGTCAGTCTCGTGGCAGATGACCCGAACTCTCATTTTGTGTGTGTGTGTGTGTGTGTGTGTGTGTGTGTGTGTGTGTGTGTGTGTGTGCATGTGTATGTATGTATGTGTGTTGCTCCCTACATAGACAAACTCTTGTTTTTGTGTCCCGGGTGCCATGGGGCGGCGTTCTCCCATTCTCTCTCCACTGCCCCTCCGGGCCCACGTGGCAGTGACTCGACAGGGCAGGGCAAGTGTGTGTATGGTGTATGGTGCATGGTGTGTGCTGGCATGTCTGTATAAATATGTTGGACAGGAATTTGTTCACCCACAACGTTCACGGGAAACCATGCTAGGTGTTGCTGGAACGTATGGAGTCTGCGAGCACTTACAATAACTTACGTCATGTCACAACAAAGAACGGTGCAGTGTTTGACCCTCATGTAAACATGATGGTGATGGTACCTCACCTAAGCTACCCATGAAGCTAGAAAGAACATCAGGTCAACAGAATTGTACTAGAGGAAAGCATCTATTGCCCGAACTTCTTCATATGAAATGAACAATACCCTTCTCCATAGAGACAACATGCAGATGAAGTGTATGGACAAATAATATAATATTATTTGTATAAATAGGCCATTCACTGAGGGCATGGAATGATCTCTACGTGTAGATTGGATAGACACATGCACGTCTGCAAGGAAAGCATTTGTTCATGGGTTAGTTCATGGGCTGATTGAGTTCACATGGACTAAGTTCATACATGCTATCTCTCCTGAGATATGTTCAGCAAAAATTTCAAAACATACGACATTATTTCGTTCGCTAATCTCCGCTACTCGTCGTCTCACCTGGCTTCAGAAGATGTTACGAGAGATAGGAGAGTCTTTAGCAGGCAGCGCATCCATCTTCAGGAAGTGGAAAGAGCAAACGGCATGGTCCTTGGTTGAGGTAAATGCTGAACGTTTGATTTGTCCCAACCAAGATTTCAGCACTTGGTTCGTCACGATTTTCGCTTGCCAGCTAACGTCTCCGCACTCCAGCTTTCCCCTGTCGGTGTCACGTCCCAGTACACAACGGAGAGGACTACTGATAAACAGTTCACGGCACTAACAGCATTGAACACAGTACTTCTTTCACTTCGTGAATACAAGAAGACAACTGAAAATGACACAATTCTGCAGTGATCGACCTTCTCTCTCGATCTCACGGAGCTAAGCAGAATGTGCGTCATCACCTGTAGTCGCCATGGAAACGGGATCGGGAAATCGGCGATATGGCAAGTTTCCCTTGCCGTACGCAAGCGAGAGATATACCATCGGAACCGATATCCAATTGTCTTTCATCTGAGCCCTACTTGAAAAATCGATGCACTTCCCCTTTAACTCTTATTGGCGATGGTGCCATCGTGAGAATAAAAAATTCTATCGTCAAAAATGAACAATTGAACTAACTTACCACTTATTGATAACCAGAGCAAAAGGTCTGTTCTTCAATTTGTCTGATGCCAGCACTGAATGGAATTGACAAGCTGTTGTTGATATTTGTGAACGATTAGATCCATCTATTATAAACTAACCACATAAACAAAAAAGTCAGGTTTAGGGAATGTGACATACATCAACACATTCATACCACCTGATCTTCTTGCAGTCATTATGACAATGGCATTTGGCAGGAAATAACAAATGTTCCTTTGGGAACGAATGGACATGAAATAAATGAACACCTACTTCCTCCGTGTCCTCGAAATTGTCGCAGTTTGACTAGTTACTTGTCACTTGTTACTGCCAACAACATAAGCTACAACCGATACGACAATTATCGCACGGGATGATACTCTAAAGTCTAGAGTGACGTTCCAGGACAGTTGGACTGAGAGATTCACGCGGAGCTGAAGGCCTCGTCCTCGCTGATGTCAATGGACGAAACAATATCATTCACAAACAATATCATTCCGCAAATTACAATATCATTCCAAACAATATCATTCCAAACAATATCATTCACAAACAATATCATTCCAAACAATATCATTCCAAACAATATCATTCCAAACAATATCATTCAAAACAATATCATTCACAAACAATATCATTCCAAACAATATCATTTTTGCAAAATTTCCAAGAAGGTTTTATGTTGGTCGCGCCTTATCTCTAATGCTCTGACTTTCTCAACAGGACAAGAGCTGCTATGCTTGTTGACTTTCTCAACAGGACAAGAGCTGCTATGCTTGTTGCCTGCTCTGCATGACTCCGACTACTTCACCGCCAACTCAGTACGAGTACGTTGGAAAAGAATTCACGATCGTTGCCAGGTTGGTTGATTACGCTGGCTGCGGAATAAAGTCGATCTTGAAATGAACTTTTTTAGCCGTGGCATGCCCATCAATTTTAGCTGTGTGGTTGCAGCTCATGCAGGTAAGTGTACTATCACGTAGAGCGCGCCCTCTTTTTCAGCATCACTGGTCTACGGCACCTGCATGTGCATCACTAGCACTACACGTACACCGCTCTTGCAGGTAGCAGGTGTCTCAGTAAACTTGCATGGATGCAAGAGCAATTTCAAATTTGGACTTCACGGAGAATTTCAAAGATGCAAGAGCGATAATTCGTATCACTCTTGCATTTTATCGCTTTTTCATGTATGCAAGTTTGCGGACCACTCAATGTTTCTCCAAGCACTGCAACTTGTTGCACGGAGTATTTCTCACCCCAGCTCAGGTAAACAGAGGTGAGTCATTGAGCGAATGGCTATGGACACGAGAAATGTGCAGGCGGTAACGCCTGACTGATCTTAGCAGCTAGTCAAAAGTACCATCGCAGCGACATCAGCGAAGAAATTGTGTCTAGTTCAAAGTTTGCAACTTCCATGAACAGAAAATAGAATTTTGCTGTCAGCCCGGAATACTGATGAATGATGATCATCGTCTAGGTCTATCCTTTACCTGTGGTATGACTGCTGGTTAGAAATTACCCCGTTCTATATCAATAGTCAAACTGCGACAATTTCGGTGACGCGGAGGAAGCACGAGTAACTTCTTATTATATAAAGAAAGAATCAAAGGTTTACCGTATATTCAGGAGTGTAAGCCGCACCCGGATGGTTCTGTCACGAAATACAGACATCCACCATGTTTGCTACGTTTATATATTTGTATCTCCGTTCTGCTCGCGTTGTAGATAACAAACAATTTGAAACACCGCAGATTCTACTCGGCACCGTCCGCTCTGGTTTAGGAAATGCTGTGCGGATTGGATCGTCGCACTATATATATTAGTTGTAGTGTGTATTGTTGTCATGTGCCACGCAAGAACTCCAATTACACTCCTTCATCCCCTGCCCTATTGATTTATCGTTCGCTTTGCTTGAAGAATGATCAGAACAATTGAGGACCGTTTTGCAATGAAAAAAATTCGGCTGAAAAAAGAAAGAATAAAAAACGTGCTCAGGATGAGATTCGAGTACACATGTATAGTCCCAGCAGGTTCTGTGGCTGTCGTCAAGAGTACATGAAAACCAGAGTGTGCAGCTTGGGGCTTTTCTACTTTCTGTCACGGCGGAATTCCATGATAACATCATATTTGGCGCAGATCAGAGGCGGGAAATCGTGTCGTGTGTACAACTGAGCTGCAGTTGTGCAGAAAGAGACCTGCTTGAATCCTGCTTGTATGCACTACATCACTAAAATGATGTAATCACGGAATTCTGCCGTGACAGCGACCAATCCGAGCTGCACACTCTGGTTTTCATGTACTCTTGCTGTCGTTCATAGACGCGTAATTCCGCAGCATGAAAACCATTCGACTCAGCGCTTTTATAACCGGACTTCATTATTCAATGACTGAACACTGTGATACACTGCGAACTGGGAGGAAGGTGAATAGGTAATAAGGAATTAAGGACGAATGTCGACTAAAATTCATTATAACTAGTTAGTTTATACAAAAGAGAAAAGACCCAGGAACTACAAGTTGTGCTGTACTGCATGTCCACTAACACCACCAGTTACTAAACAATCAGCTCATACGATAACATTGCACGACACTGACCGACGGTACTGACGGTCTACAACTAACTGGCTAACAGCTCTAGCACATCTTGGATGCGCACTCCAACAGCCTTCCAACTTGGAAGGTTCTAAGTTATAGAAATAACATAAGGAGGGGAAGGTGAGCGCAAACAAGATAAGCACGAGCTGAAAGTCTCAGCTGTGAAGGACGTTGGCGGATGTTCATGCATGTCGATGACGATACTGGCAAGACCATTAGACAATACGGTCAAACCACGATTCAAGAACGCAAAGCAACATTCCACACAACTTGTGTGGCTCAAAAGATGCGAAGATCAATAAAAGGGGAAGCTGAGACTTTCAGCTCGTGCTTATCTTGGTTGCGCTCACCTTCCCCTCCTTATGTTATTTCTACAACTTAGAACCTTCCAAGTTGGAAGGCTGTTGGAGTGCGCATCCAAGATGTGCTGAAGCTGTTAGCCAGTTAGTTGTAGAACGTCAGTACCGTCGGTCAGTGTCGTGCAATGTTATTGCATGAGCTGATTGTTTAGTAACTGGTGGTGTTAGTGGACTTGCAGTATAGCGTAACTTGTAGTTCCTTGGTCCTTTCCCTTTTGTATCAATTAATCCTTGGCTATCCATCCGAGTCCATAACTAGTTAGGATTCACAATGCCGATATGCAGGTCCTCCCTCATTAGTAGAAAATCTCTCTTGTGATGAGACTTGTCTTCTAACAGGACTTAAAAATAAAGGTACAAGAGGCACTGATTCGTACGTATATGGGGTGCTCTCAACACAACATAAATTATCAGCACTTCAACCCGTTATTAGATATTTGTAAATCTCCATAGTGTTTTTGGCCAAAGATGCAAAAGATCAAATAATTCTACAAGGTAAAAGATATTACAATTGCTGGTGCATACATTTTTTCATTTAGGACACATTTGAGAAAATATGCGATAATGCAGGCACAAAAGTCACCCATGTCACTTACAACAATTTTCTCCGGCTCTGTATCATCCACGAAGTTGCTCCAAAGCGGGTACACGCTCGAGCCTATCTCTCTGACAGTTATTCGAGTAGCCGTATTACTACAAGTATACCCGCCAAGCGAAATTCCAGTCTGTTAGAATAAGTCAACAAAGCGGCAGGTGCAGTACACTGTATACACTCAGTAGGATACAGGCTGTAACTACAAAAGAATAGACTTCAGCCATCAATTTTTGTATTCGCTTTATACAGGATCGTGCCTTGATCCTTGAAGGGTGGTGGCGTTCCTACGGATGCGGATAACTCGGCATCTAGCCATCTAGCCATCTAGCCATCTAGCCATCTAGCCATCTAGCCATCTAGCCGTCTAGCCGAGACGGTCTGGCGCGATACGTGAAGTTTATATATCTATTTTTTTATACAGGAAAAGAGCAATAAAAAAAGAAGTGAACAGACATAATAATTATTATATATGCACTGCATGCACATGTGTGTCACAGGCAACGAATCATCCCATGTCATAACTCCCTATCATCCCATGTCATAACTCCCTATCATCCCATGTCATAACTCCCTATCATCCCATGTCATAACTCCCTATCATCCCATGTCATAACTCCCTATCATCCCATGTCATAACTCCCTATCATCCCATGTCATAACTCCCTATCACCCCATGTCATAACTCCCTATCATCCCATGTCATAACTCCCTATCATCCCATGTCATAACTCCCTATCATCCCATGTCATAACTCCCTATCATCCCATGTCATAACTCCCTATCATCCCATGTCATAACTCCCTATCATCCCATGTCATAACTCCCTATCATCCCATGTCATAACTCCCTATCATCCCATGTCATAACTCCCTATCATCCCATGTCATAACTCCCTATCATCCCATGTCATAACTCCCTAAGTAACTAGAAGACCTGGTCCCAGCCTGTGTAAATGAGCCTTTGGTATAATCTTCGCAGCCCTATTTTTATATGTACTGTTAGGTACCTCCTCCCGTACCTTTTCTAGCTGGCCTGCATGCACTTGCGTACGCACCTTTTGTCTCCTTTCGCTCCGTTGGCCTGGGTAGCTACTTGCGCGCCCATATTTGCCATAGCTACCCAGGCCCTTTATCTTGCCGTTTAGACTTGATCTCTTTCTCTCTTTTCTCACTCTTCAATGTAGTCGTTTCGTTCGTCTTGGTCTCTGGTCTCGTCATCTACTAGTATAATAAATGTCGTTCCCACTAACCTGTTCCCGTTGTAATGTCTGGATATGTCGTCAGTCGTCCTGTTTCGAACTCAACATTGGCGCCCGATTATTGATCGACCCACGACCCTGAGATCATCCCATGCCCAGCCGTCCTCAACCACCATTCGTCTCGTCTATATCAACCTCGTCTCGTCCATGTCAGTCTCATCTCTCCTACGCCAACCTTACCTCTTCTATTCTCGTTCAAGCCATGCAGGTCAGCTACCTTTCTCTCTTTCTTTTTTTTGTATGCTTCTTCGTCAAATTTATTTTCGTGAATTTTTTTGTAGTGTGTGTGCGCGCGCGTGTGTTCGTAAAACATTACCAAGTTAGGGGTCCGATCATGGTGAGCCACGCTCTAATTTTTGGATGTTTAGCAAAAGTGTAACTAGGCTGTATTAGCCGTGCAAAATACTAGTAATTCACGTTCCTCGTCAAACTCCAATTGTTATTTCACACAATAAGTAGTACAGGAATGATCTGTACGAGTGCATTTTAGTACACACTTTCGTGAGATCCATGCGCGCGTGCAGTATGTGTGTGTGTGTGTGTTTTCTCCTCCAGTTCATTTTTTTAAAATCTTTTCCTCTCTTTTTTTTCTCTCCGCGAGGACGCGGGATTTTTTTCATGGAGGGGTGGTCGGTAGAGCATGAGACTCTTAATCTCAGGGTCGTGGGTTCACGCCCCACGTTGGGCGCCAATGTTGAGTTCGAAACAGGACGACTGACGACATATCCAGACATTACAACGGGAACAGGTTAGTGGGAACGACATTTATTATACTAGTAGACGACGAGACAAGAGACCAAGACGAACGAAACGACTACATTGAAGAGTGAGAAAAGAGAGAAAGAGATCGCGTAAAGTCGCGGATAAAAGCCGGGCTTATAAGCACATAAGCCGCTTTCTGCATCAGGCTTTAATGCAAGCCAGGCGTGTATGCAAACCATGCTTATATGCACCACTGATATTTTTGCCAGGCTTGTACGCACATAGAAGCCAGGCTTCTACGCGCGGCACGCGTAGATCTACCACTGACTACCGGTATGGCGGCAGTTTTACTATGCACCGTATATAGCGCATGCACTCTTGACCTACCCGATCCGCGCTTGCATAGAAGCCAGGCTTCTACGCGCGACAGGCTTATATGCATTTGACCCGTTTGATTTTCAGGCTTCTGTCCGCGATGTGCTTCTATGCAAACCCGGCTTTTATCCGCGATGTGCTTCTATGCAAACCCGGCTTTTATCCGCGATGTGCTTCTATGCAAACCCGGCTTTTATCCGTGATGTGCTTCTATGCAAACCCGGCTTTTATCCGCGATGTGCTTGTATGCAAACCCGGCTTTTATCCGCGATGTGCTTGTATGCAAACCCGGCTTTTATCCGCGATGTGCTTGTATGCAAACCCGGCTTTTATCCGCCACTTTACGGTATGTGCATCATAGTGATGAAACAGCGGCTGCCGCTCAAATGGAAAAGAAATAGACGGTTCGAAATGTTATCGTGCATTTTCAGCTGAATGCGTGTGCTTATGAGTAACAGCAAGGGTACTATAAGCTCCCAAGAGTGGGCAACTCCTGATACCCTTTATATGGATTTTGCCAACTGTGAAAACTGTGAAAAGTCACATCACGTGCTATAGTGTTCCTGTTGTAGGTTTCCAACCCATTTTTAGCTAGCAGCGGAGTAGTAGAAATAGCACTCCCTGACAGAAAATCACTCCGCATACCCCGGTATGCAATTTCCCAGCATGATCATCGCAGCTATAGCCTAGTTCACATTCGACGGGACGGGATGTAAGGAGCAAGGGGAACCAACGGGACAGTCTGACGGCATCCAATGTGAATACCAGGAACGGGACAGTCTGACAGCATCCAATGTGAATACCAGGAACGGGACAGTCTGACGGCATCCAATGTGAATACCAGGAACGGGAATGCAACTGTACTACCATACAGATTGGGATGCAACAGGAAGAGTTGAATCTGTTCAACCTTTCATACCATAGACGGGGACTCAAGCGCACAAAACAGCTGCAATTCGAGTGGGAATAGGAGAAAGCGTCGTGCACCGACTGATCCAATTCGTTCTTGAAAATATTTAGCATTTCGAACACTACGCTTCCCATGGTAACTCACAGAATATCTTACACGACTTGAGTTGAAATTTAGCAAGATAATATGTCATGTCACTTCCTATATTTCGGGATAGTTCAGGAGTGTGACAGACGAACAGTTTTATCAATTCCTGGGCCTATTATTAGAATGGCACAACTGTCAGAGCTATGTTTTGATCTTCATGAAAAACTGCTATTGTGAACTTGATTCTCCTTCATTCAAGGAGAAATGATTGAAAAGAAATCCCAGCAAACAAGAAATTAGGCCCAAAAGTCACCCAGTCACAGACCGTGCCTTATGACTTGCACCGTTTGACGGTGAACATCGCGGCAACTGCAGCATGTCGTGTCGCACGAATCGTACAGCTCACCGCAGCAGACAGACCCTTACGACCTATTGAGAAGGCAGCTGTCGGAGGAAATGAGGACACTCACTGGTTTGGATGCGAGAAACGTCGAGTGGAGGGAGCAGAGGTACTAACGGCAGGACAACCTGTTCAAACTGAGGGGCAGTCGTGTCGACGAGCTTGGAAATCCTGGTGCGACGGGGGGGGGGGGGGGAATCTGCATTAAAATTGCATTAAAATTGAGCTAGATTCAAACTCCTACTCAATCCATCAACTGATGAGGCAAACTGTACCGGCTGATTCCTGGTGTTCATACTGAACCAGCAATGCAAGGGGGAGAGGGGAGGAAGGGTCAGCATACATTCGGCGACTATTGAGATTTTCGGAATTTAACGGACAGCCTCTAATTTAAAAGAAATGGTTCGCTCCCCAAACCGGAGCTCGCGCTATTCCGCCGACTTGACTTGACACTTGACTGACTCAAGTCAAGTTGGCGGAATAGCGCGAGCTCCGGCGTGGGGAGCGCACCCTTTCTTACAAATCATCTCCGAAGTTGCAACCACTATTTCGCAGCCTCTAATTTAAGTAGCATTATCAAAGTCTATCTTACCGTGTGCTTGACAGGAGGGAGCACTGAATCAAAAAGATGTCTGCAACCTTGTTGGCGAGCGGCAGATCGAGAGCCATCCTCACCTGCATAACAATATTGAGAAAAGGCAATGGTTGCAGTTTCTGTTAGAACTTGAACTAGTGCACATTCATTGATGTGACTACGATTTGTTTAAATTTTGTGTAGACGCGTGATGGTATAGAATGACTTTGCATATTATCGCAACAAGGAGAACCAGTTAGATAGACATGTGTGCAATTTATTTAAGGCCACACCGTTTTTTATCTATGTTTCGCGTCCCCCGCGCGCATGTATTTCAAAGCCGGAGTTCAAAAAAAAGGAACAATTTTTTTGGGAAAATGCAATACAAATTTAATGCAAACCCAGAAAACGGGAAAATGTAACTCAGCTGAGTCAGCTCACACACGTGTACATGTAGATGTGTGTGTAATAAGCTGGGCCGCAAGTCACACAATCATCATGGTGTTTGGGACACATGCATGGCAGAGTGGATACACTCATGTATTCATGTACATGTCAATGTACATGAACAGTGCTGCGTCGCTTCACTGTACACAAATGCAATGCACGTACACTGTACACTGTTTTTTTGGATGGCTTTTTTATTTTTTCGCCCTCCCTCATTGATTTCATCGGATAAGGTGACGCGAAACATAGAAAAAACGGCGTGGCCTAAAGGTGTCAATCGATGGATGAAATGTGTAGTAACAAAAATGGAAAGAAGATGAAATAGTGAACATGACAATGAAGAAAGATTCGAACAAGTTTTTGTTCAGCACCCGTCACCATGGTTACTGTGTCTGCAGGTTACAACTTTTACAGCGTTCCTGTCACTCGAGTTGAACCTTTGGACCATTGAGTTGAACCTTTGGACCTTTGAGTTGAACCTTGGTGTGGAAGTTGTACCCTGTAGGCACGGTGACCAGGTGACTGGTGTACGCATGAGCACGTGACCGCTTACTCAACCGTGTTCAATTGAGAATAAGGGCCGAACGCTGCATCGCAGGCTTTTCGGACCAAAACCAGTCGACTCAGCGTCCAAAAGACTACAACATATGGACCAATCGCGGTCATCCGTGCTTTTATAAGAACAAAACGGCGCTTTTAGTGACTTTTGCATACAACTCCCAATCTAGTAGGGCGCAGTCGCCCAGTTTTGGTAGAAGTGCGGGAGTTCGATTGTGAATAAAGGAGGAAGGGAATGTCTCAGCTTCCTCGGACCAAAACCATTTGACTCAGCACCCCGAAGACTACAACTGGTGAAAAATTGACCTCAAGATCTACATGTAACCGTGACTGTTGAATTAGACCTACATCAGTACATCAGTACACAATGGTACATGAGTACATGAGTACATCAGTACATCAGTACATCAGTACACAATGGTACATCAGTACATGAGTACATCAGTACACAATGGTACATGAGTACATGAGTACATCAGTACATCAGTACATCAGTACACAATGGTACATGAGTACATGAGTAGGATGCTGGGAACACATGCATGAATACAACCAGTGTTCTAGCTTACCCGCTAATTTCTTGAGCAATGTTGTTTTACCAGCTCCACGAGGTCCCATCAGCATAATCATAACGGCAGTAATTGATTTTTTTTCGAACTGAATGGCAATGACATGAGAATGAATACTATTATACACGCGTTGGCCAGGCAGTATCCTACCACCACCAGGACTAGTAGTAGTAGTAGTAGTAGTAGTAGTAGTAGTAGTAGTAGTAGTAGATCTACACAATCATTGTAACGTTACTAATACTAGCACAGCTCCAGACACTCACAGCTATTGCAAAACACGCTATATTTTTTTATTATTACAGACAGCAGTTCACATTTTATTGGCATTTTTATTGTGCACATGACATTGTATCTTTATCGGTAGAGCTAGAGCCAGTAGAGGGTCCATTTGCAGACCTACTGTTGAAGTAGCTACTGTACTGTGAGTAGAGTCAACTATGTCCATGACTGTGCTACATCAGATTCTAATCACTATACTAAATCATCATGACGGCATGAGTCTGACTACGTCACAGTACGTGTAGGAGGACAGTAAGACAAAATTTAATACTATTACTATTAGTATTACTAACTCCTGCTCATCGCCATCGCCGCATCGGTCATCCATCCAGACGAGTCGTGTCACCAAGACTGCAAGACTGAGTCAAGACTCAGCAAGAGTCAAGTCAAGAGAAGACGTTTGCCAGTCTTGGTGTCACTGTCCATGGTGTCACTGCACTGTCACTGTCACTCAGTGTGTCACTGTCACTCCAGTCATACAATCATGTAGTTACCAAGGTAGTTACCATGGTTACTAGTATGCGCCGTGCCCATGGCCCACGGCATGGCATATCGCAGGTCGATTTTAGCTAAAATTAATAATTATAGGGCTTGAAAGTGCTACGTCACAGCATAGCAACAATTTCAAAAATTCAAAAACTGGATCCACTTGGATCCAGTTTTTGTATGGATCCAAGCACATTTCAAGCGGTCTTACCCCCCAGCATGGTGATGTAGCCAGTGAAACTGACTGATTTGGCTACTGGGGGCGGGGTTACAACTGGTGGCAAAATAAAAGTCACACCTGCATGCGACATAAGTGAGTTGCTATGCACCCACATACTTAGGCAATAGCAAAGTCACACCTTAGTGGATCCAAAAATAGAAATCTGATGTCAACTTACTACTCCCTGGCCGTTTTGACGTCATCACTTTCAAGCCCTATTGCTCAACTCGGGTAACCCCGGCGCGTACTTGAGTGACGTGGTGCCTGGATTTCATTGAACAGCACTGCATGCAAGTCATCATGGTCATGTACAGTGCTGACAACTGAAATCCGACCCCTTGGCGGCGCGCCGCGCCCCCAAGGGGTCGGATTTCAGTTGCCAGCACTGTACTACGGAACATCGTCATCTTCGTCCTTTTGAGAACGCGTGCTCGGACTTTCGCTCCTCTACTTCTACTAGTACTAGTCTCCCATTACGAATCTGTGACAGTCAGTGTGAAGTTCTGAAATTTTGTTTTTCGGTTTGACATCTGCGCTCTGTTTTGCACGTTCTCTGCCACTCTAAGGCGTTTGGATCAGCCAAGATGAGGTAAGTTTTTCTCTACGAATGGTCTCAATTTGTTCTCACCTTTAGAGCAATGAAGTCATTTTTTTATCGCTAGCATCTACTAACAAAGTAACTTAGTTGCTATGCCCAAGTGATCTACAATACTTATGCTGTGGAGATTGGATATACAGTCAACTAATTGCTTTGCGAATAACGACACTCAGCGGGGCATCAGAAAAGTGTCCTTATACCCGAAGTCCCATTTGAATGTATGTGAACCCATATTTTGTATAGTATGACATGCATATCAAAAATTCAAAATGAAACTCTTTTCATGCTCTGTGTCAATGTGTACTTTATTTCAATTATACAATCATGTGTTACAATTGAAAGGAACTATAAAGTTTATTGCATTCCCAACTCATCACAACCACGCGCTCTTCAGCCAAACCATACAGACACCAGCAAGGACACTTCCGTTGAGAGATAATAATTATTGCTCCACGCCTCTAGACAGCTGTTTCGCTCCCTGTCGGAGCTCATCAGTAGAGGATGATAATGATGATAATGGAGGAATGATCATTCTTATACACCAGAAATGGCGCAAGTGCGCGCTTTCCACATATATCAATGGCATATGCAAGCTGCTAAAAATGGTAAAGTGTGAGAACAGCGATAAATAATCATAGAACGCGCTCATTGGTAGAGAAACACACCACACAAGCGACGAAAATCTTACTCGGAAAACTGATGTCAATGGAAAGTACATGTATGTTATATATAACTATAAAGTTAATAAAAAATAATTTTTTATTTATTTTTTACATTGTACATGTGCATGTACATGATTGTACATGTATGATGATTACTGTACATGATTGTGCTGATCACTCTAACTATTTTGGAGCAAAATAAAAATAAAAGCATCCCCCCCCCCCCTTTGCTGCAACGTCTTGCATGTTTGCCTTTACCCATCGCCATGGGTTCTGGTACTTCTGCATGACAGGTACTTGAAATAGCTGTCAAAAGCCCAGAAAGTCGCTATTCAAGCCGTGAATATGACCTTGGTCACTAAAAGCATGTCGCTATTCGCAAATTGTCATTATTCAGATAGTCGTATCCGAAGTTAAATGGGACTTTGCTCTGGGCATAGGAATTCTGTCGTTATTCGCGAATTGTCGCTACATGTATATCCGCAGTCGTTATTAACGAAGTTGACTGTAACGACACTCCTTTGGGAGAGAACAAAATGTCATTGTATGCGATCTGTCACTAAACCCGTTCTTCCCCCTTGCAATATGTACATCAAAATGCCAAGAATTGATTGCGAAGTATCCAGAGTGACGAAATGGCCTAGATTCAAACTTGACTTTTCCGAAATCTTATACAGTCAGACCTCGCTTATCCGGTCCTCGTTTATCCGGATCCCTCGCCATCCGGAAGAAAAAAAGCTGGTTACATATTTACAGCATACGTGATGCATCCAACATAAACGGTGTTCGGTTATCCGGTTCCCTCGCCTATCCGGATATTTTTTTGGAAAACGGATGTGTGCGGTTAAGCGAGGTCTGACTGTATCTACAAAATTAATGGCCTCACCTGTAGGGCAATGAAGTCAATTTTGCCTTCAGGACTAAGATTGTCTAACAATGTACAGTGTAGTAGCACTGTCTCACTCTCAGTAATCTAAAATACTTCATACTAGTAGGCAAAATTTAACTCGGATAATGAGCCAGTAATAAATGTAAAATAGAAGAAGAAAACACAAGGAGACAAGTTGTTTTGCAACTATCCATGACTGTAAGAAGATAATAACCAGTCAGATGTGTTAGAGCTAGGTCTCAGGTCGTTGAATGTCTCAGTAGCCTGTCAGTTTTGTGCCATGTTATCGCAGTTTCTGACTGCTTATTATCTTTTTACAGTCGTGGATAGTTGCTTCATATTAAACTCGTTTCCTTGTGTTTTCTTCTTCTATTTTGCATACTAATATATATGAATATTGGTCGCGTTTGATTACACACATTTCGGTCACTTCCAGAATTAGTTATGGTGGATGGACCGTTCGATTACACAAATTCCGTTGTCAGAAGCGACGGAATTGGATATTCCGTCAATTCTGAAGAGAGGGCGGAATTGCTAATTCTCCCGCCAGAACTGACGCACTCGACGTACACAGCATGCTAGGTCCACGTGCGCGCTAGGAGTGTACGGGATCCGATCTGATCCCCTTTTGCGATTTTTACGTGTAGTCATTCGTTTACATGGCCGCGATCCGTTCCTTTGAATCCTGAGTCCAGAATGTGTGACTTTGTAACCGAAAACGCCCACTGGCTTTTACAGAGTGACCAAATGGCCTAAATTCAAACTTTAAAAAACTTTTTCGGTCATGTTCTATGCAGTGAACGCAGCAGCGCTGAGAGCTAGCAAGAGCCACCACAGAAAGTCTTGTGCGATACCAACCGAAATTCACCAAAACTCACACAGATAACACACGTCGGATTTAAATACAATGTACTCGGAAAATAATGGCTACAACCGTGACTGGGTTATCAATTCCCTTGAAGGAAAACCATAGCTGCCGAAACCGCAAGGCAAAACCTTGAGAACCTAATTATTTGTTTTGTCCCGCCCGACCAGGCGATCCGCACAATCGATCATCCGGATAGTTAACATCCGGATAATCGATGTTCTACTGCATTCTTATTTTATCGGCAGTGCAAATGATGTGATGTGATGGTGATGAAATTGAACAAGTGGCATGTTGCATGTTGATATTTGCGGCTTTCATACTTTTTATAGCTTCTATCTTAGGAAGGGTTTTTGCTCCACACACACACAACTTCTACCTTATTTGTATTTTAGGCTGATGAAGTCTGTCCCGTTGTGTAGAACTCGATGACCAATCAGCGACGTTCCTGCCAAGGGCCTTGTCAGAACCTCGGGCTAATATGTAGAGCATTCACCAAGCTAAATGGCCCTCCCTGCCATGCACTTACCTATAATTAATGTTCAAGAGAATGGACTTGGCATCACTTCGTATGGATATTTCTTGCGCCAACCTCTGTGAACTTCGTGGGTCCTGCGATGACATGTGGCAACAGTGGCTGACTAAGGTTGTGCCCATTCTTGATGCTCATGCTCCATTGCGCCACGCGTCTTCCCGACCAAGACAGCATTCACCATGGGTCAATGAACATTTGTTCCTGTTGATACGACGACGTAACCACGCTCATCGGAAATGGCTGCAATCTAAGTGCCAGACTGATTACGATGCGTTTAAAGAAGCCAGGCGTATCGTGACTCGTATGAACCGTGAATTGAAGACGAATTTTTTTCAGTCTAAGTTCACCAGTGTTCAAGGTAATCCCAGGAAAACGTGGAAGGTTTTGAACGAGTTATCCGGAAGACAACGTGTTCAATCCGTTCCACAATGCTCTGCAAGCAACATTGGGTGTGTATTTGCTGATGTTGTCAGTGATCAACAACGAGCACCTGAACTGTGTCTTCCACAGGGCCCAGTGGGACCTAAGGGTTTTACATCCTTCATTTCGGTTTCAATAGGTTGTGTGCGTAAACTGTTGGGTTCCTTGGACACCAGCAAAGCGACAGGCAGTGATGGAATACCCGCATTTCTTCTGAAGTCCTGCGCTGATTTGCTAGCTCCCTCCTTAACATTGATATTTAATGCATCTCTTGCTGTTGGTTCTGTGCCGGACGGCATGAAGTTGGCACATGTCACGCCGATATTCAAGGCTGGAAATCCTCAAGATCCGGGAAATTATCGCCCTGTGTCTCTCCTGCCAATTGTGTCGAAGCTGTTAGAACGAATTGTCCATAGACAACTATCCTCATTTCTGGACAAGGAGAATTTGTACCCTCCCTGTCAGTTTGGCTTTAGACGTCAACATTCAACGGAAGACGCTCTAGTTTTCGTCACGGACACGTTTGTTCGCGCTCGCGATGCCGGACAAATTACTGGTGCTGTGCTCGTGGATATGTCCAAAGCATTTGACAAGGTCAGGCACCAAGTGCTCATTAATGATTTGTTTGAGCTTGGCATATCTGGTTCAGCATTAGTCTGGTTTGCCGACTATTTGTCCAATCGTCGCCAAATAGTGCACATTGCTGAGAACTATAGCCCTCCTTTCCCCTGCATGTGTGGCGTTCCCCAAGGCTCTGTTCTTGGTCCGCTGCTTTTTGTACTCTATGTTCGTTCGATCCAGTCCATTGTCTCCGAGTTTTGTGTGAAAGTTATTCAATTTGCTGACGATATTCTATTGTATGTTTGCGGTAAGCAGAAGAATGCGCTTAGCAACTCCCTGTCTGCAGCTGTCTCAGCCATTAGTACCTGGCTGTCAAACCGCAATTTAATTCTAAATGCTCGGAAGACACAAGTGCTCTTCCTGTCTACGCCACATATTACTGACCACCAATTTGCAGTCTACTGCCATGGAGTGCAGCTCAAGCAAGTGACATGTGCAAAGTACCTTGGAATACATTTGGACCAGGATCTTTCTTGGAGCACTCAAGTTGATTCTATGGTCTCCAAACTAGCCAGTAAAATTGGTATTCTGTTCCGAAATCGACACAATATTCCGCTGACTTGCCGAGAAACCTTCGTAAAGTGCCTAGTGTTGCCAGATTTTCTATATGCATCAAATTGTTTTTCTGCTGGCCTTTCCTTAACCCAGTTAGGTAGGCTTGAACGAATGCTAAAGCGAGCTTTGCGTTCAGTGTATGATACTGGTTTTTGTAGCCCATCAAGCCCTTTATTTGCGAGACTTGGTCTAGATCGTTTGGCAACCATGTATTGCAAGAAATTACTGTATCTGACGTGGCGCTGTTTGGAAGGCCGCTGTAGTGTCACATTAAGTCAAATGTTCGAGCGTTTAAATAATGGTCTTGCAACGCGCAGCCTTGTATCACGCACTCTTAAGTTGCCCATGCTCAGAACTGCCTTTGCCCGTCATGGCGCTTCCTTCCAATGTGCTAAGCTGTGGAATGATTTGCACCCTCTAGCTCGCTGTGTGGATAACTCCGCCCGTTTTAAGAAACTGTTACCCCGATGCCTTGCTTTTTCACGCTAGTAATTATGACTTTCAGCTATGCAAAATGCGAACATGATCACCTATCCAATACCGGTAGTCTACTATGTTAATTATTCATATCTTTTTGCATCTTTCCCTCGAGTGGGTCTATTGTTATTAGGCAATTGTCTGTTATAGTCACCACTATAAATAAAAATCCAATCCAATCCAAAATGCTCCCAACGAAACTGGGACATTTGGGCTTTAAAAGAGCAGATAAGAGATAGTACGGTATTCCCTAACTTATCATAGGCAGAAATCTTTTTTCCATTACAATCCTGACTTCATGCAAGGAGCAGGAGCAGGACACAGTAGCAGAAGCAGCAGAAGGTCAATTGATGAATTGACAGTGCTTAGAGAATATGCAGCAGCCAGGCTAAATTACACTGGTTTCACTGCAGACACGCAGGAAATAGCAGTGGTCTGTTCAGGAGCCAGGGTGGATTTCCTGGGTTCACCATCATACCTGAGTCGCTGAACGTTATGCTGACAATGCAGCAGCCTCTTTGCCTCTCTTGCATTGATCTCTTCTTCATGACGCTCCTTGCGGCTGTTCTCCACTAGACGGTAGCGTTTCCTCCTTTCTTCTTTGTAGTTCAGTAGGTTTGTTGTTTGCGGCTGGTCATACTCGCTGAAATCGCTATACATTTCCATAGACCAGGGTACAGTATTGGCCGAGACACTCTGGTATTCTGAAGATGTAGAGAAGCCTTCGGAATGTTGTCTTGTAGCAGCTGTATCAGCAGCACTAACAGAACACTTGGCTGTTGTTTGTTCTCCTTTCGTGCGTCCAGGCAAAGATGCTGGGCTCATGATGTGTGCTGCTGAGCTAACACCAGAGTCTAGTGAATCTGGTGTAATACGTCTGACCACACCTTGATGTCCATCACATGGATTAATGCTGTCTGGCTCCTTCATGTGACGAAGATACACTTCACGCTCGTTTCTCTCAGACATTGACAATTGAAGCGGATGGTGTGGCCTGGGGAACGGCAATGCCAGAACACGGTATGTTGATGCGGTGGTGAGCTTTCGATAAGGCGCTGAGTCCATGTCCAAATCACCAAGCTGTTTCTCCAAGGCACACATGCCAGCAGGGTCTTCATACGCTTGCAATTCTGAAATACACAACAGAACAAGCCACAGCAAACAAACAAAAAAGATAACCAATCCATACTCGGTCCGTGCTCGGTTCGTAAAATGGACGCAAAGGAACATTCCACACAACTTGTGTGGCTCAAAGATGCGAAGATCAATTAAAGAGAAGCAATGCGAACAAGAATCATGCAAAACCGAACGCCTCAGTAAAACAGCACTGTACTTCGACTATGACCATTTAGGTGGACAATATGCAGCGGTAACAAGCAGCAGTTTCACACGATGATCGTTTCGCCGTATAGATTAGGACGGCTCATCAGGTGTGCAAGAATGGCCTCGGATGGAGATCCAAGGATAAATTTATAGAATAATAGGACCAAGGACCTACAAGTTACACTATAATGTCCACTAACACCACCGGTTACTAAAGAATCAGCTCATGCGATACCATGGCACGAGACTGACCGACTGACGGACGGTACTGGCACGACACTGACCGACTGACCGACTGTACTGACGTTCTACAACTACAGTAAAACCTGGTTTAAGAGACCACCCCACGGACCACCCCACGGACCACGGTGCAAGCAAAAGCGGTCGTTAAAGCCAGGTGGTCTTCAGAACCAGGTCCCATACATTCGTGGCACATCGGAATGTGCACCTACATGTACATGTGCATGGTTGTACTTCCATGTACTCATATTCCATGTACTCATATTGACAGGTGTGGAGCATAGAATACTCTCGCGGGGGGGGGGGGCAAAGCACACCCCACTCAAGTGCATGCAGCGCATCCTGCTCTGTCACTTGTCACTTCTGTTGACGGCATGCACTTGCTTCATTTAGAGCGCACTTCAACCCTGTTGCAGTCACCCCTGCCAGGCAAGATGGCACTTTTGGTCGCTGTGTGCAGGTCTAATATGGCATTTGGTGCACTAAAAATCGGTCGCTGGTCGCGCAAGGCAGGCGGTCGCTGTGTCCGGTGCAGTTTCTGTTTAGAACTGTCCGTTCATGGAAAAACTGTTGTTCAAAGCAGGTGGTCGCTAAAACCAGAGGTCGCTTACACCAGATTTTAATGTAACTGGCTAACAGCTCTAGCAGATCTTGGATGCGCACCCCAACAGCCTTCCAACTTGAAAGGTTCTAAGTTATATGATAACATAGGAGGGGAAGGTGAGCGCAACTAAGACGAACACGAGCTGAAAGTCTCAGCTGTGAGAGATGTTGGCAGATGTACATGCATGTCGATGACGATACTGGCAAGACCATTGCCATTGGACAATACGGTCAAACCGCGATTTATGGACGCAAATCAACATTCCACACAACTTGTGTGGCTCAAAGATGCGAAGATCAATTAAAGAGAAGCAATGCGAACAAGAATCATGCAAAACCGAACGCCTCAGTAAAACAGCGCTGTACTTCGACTATGACAGTTTTGATGGACAATAAGCAGCGGTAACAAGCAGCAGTTTCATACTACGATCGTGATTTTATAACTTGGGTTTTCCAAGTTGGAAGGCTGTTGGAGTGCGCATCCCAGATGTGCTAGAGCTGTTAGCCAGTTAGTTGCAGAGCGTCAGTACTGTCTGTCAGTCTCGTGCAATGTTATCGCATGAGCTGATTGTTTAGTAGCTGGTGGTGTTAGTGGCATTATAGCATAACTTGTAGTACCTTGGTCCTATTTTTCTAGAAACATATACTTCTCCTTTCCATTTTACATTGTTTTGCATCGTCTCTATCGCTTGGCTTTGTTTTAAAATAAAGTACTTGAAGTAATGCATTGTCACTTCAGCTCGTCCTCCTTATTGCCATATTGAAATTGTTGCCTCCTCGCCGAATATTTTATTAAATTGTTTTGAATTTCAGGATTACCCAAAGGCTACCTAAAGCCTATCACTAATTGTCATTGAACATTAGCAGCGCTTTCACCATCACTGACCACCTAGTCGCATTACCGCACCAGGACAACAGCAACGTAAAACATGCTGCTGTCGTATTGGGTACTTTCATTTTTATCTCTACTTATTTGTATGCAGATGTATGATGATTTTTCTTCTTCTCTGCGCTTCGTGATGCACTTTGTGTGTGGCAGGAGGAAATTGTTTGAGCTGTATCTATTTACTTCAATGAAGCAATTGTATAAGCCTGATCTTTGAAAGCAAAAGGAACAAGTTCTATTCAAACTTTCTGTAAGTTCACATTCATTGACACTCTCATTATGACCTTGTTTGTTCGACCTCATACGATGGATACCATATTTCCCCGGATAAAAGTCACACCTTTTTACACTAAAAATCGAGGGCGAAAAGGGGGTGCAACCTACAATAGAGCATGACTTACTACTGAAGTGAATATATTGAAACGATATGGTTCAAACCTGAAAATGGGGTGCGACTTACAATCGGGGAAATACGGTACTTGTCTTCGTTCCAGCACTGCATACTGCATGCATCTGTCCCCGGGGAAAATTGCGATTCCGCGGCCGCGGTTTTTTCCGCGGTTTTTTGCGATTTTTTAAAAGACCGCGTTTTCCGCGATTTTCCCGCGTTTTTTGAACTTTTTTGTTGCACTACACGTACACACAGTGCACTGTTCGGTCAGCAACGTCTCATCGTGGCGGCTTTTTACTCAAATATGACGAGTGCTTACACCAGAGACTTGTAACTGATGGATTTCACTACATACTCACTGAAAATTACCGCACATCAATATTATTCACCGCATATTTACCGCAAATTATGCCATATTATGCCGCGCTTTCCCCGCGTTTTTTGCGATTTTTTTCCGCAATTTTCCCCGGGGACAGATGCATTTATTCACCAAAGTCCACTGATAAGTTCAACATGAAAGTCTGTTCTGGATACCTTTAGTGCCTTTGATGGTGCATGGTTATAGCTGCAGCATTTATTGTATTTATTGACATTCTAAAACGTATGTGCTACTCCCCCCCCGCACACAATTTCCTTACCTTTCTCAGCTTGCCTCCGGGTGACATCTTTGCGCTTCCTCCTTTTCCGTTTCGCACAACTGGCCGGAAGGGGTTTAGATGTTGTCCTGGCAACTGCTGCTTTGCCTGATGGGTGATGCATCCGTAATTGATGATGCTTGGCTTTAGTACCACTTTCTCTTTGAATGGTCTGCAGCATGCAAGCATGTGTTGAATTGCTATCCGCCCGTTCCGTACTTGTAGCAGAAGGATTGCTGGCATTGGGTATGGGAATTTTGTTCGTACTATCATCAGCTGTGTAGTCACTAGTTACCGTCTGATTATACGGTAGGGATTGTGGCAACTGCGGCTGTGTAGCACCATGAGCAGCATAAGTATCATGTGTTGCTTGAGACTTGGGTGAAAGGGCTGGAAACAATAGCCATCGTCTATTGGCAGTGTTCACGCCACTACTGGCATTAGACGTGGTGAGAGCAGCATCATGCATGCTACCAGAATGAAGGATATGTGCAGAGACATCCATCTACACACCGTTCCACAAGGCAATACAGCCGCGTCTACTTCAGTCGGTAGCTATGTTGCAAGTGGCTGCGAGTTGGTCGACAACTGTAATTTCATTGCAGTTGGTCTCTCCCTAACTCAGCTTATGCAGTGACTGCTGCTGACCTGGACAAGCACTTTGACCGGTATGCGTACAAATACGCCGAAGTATTCTATCACTTCAACTGTATCGCTTCCTGGGAGGACGTGTTTATCCACAAAACGTGAAGCCATGAAGTGAGAATCAAAACACTGCTAGTGCTAGCGGCAGAAAACTGGACCAGCTAGAACTGTATGGTTTGCAGCGAGGGGTCTCTTCACTGAATGATTCGCAATAGTAAATGACTGAGCAACGAACACCACTTCAGTGCAGACTGCTGCTGAGCTATCTAGCAACACAGGCCGGGCATACGATGACGCTCGCCACTACAATGTCATTGCACAAACAAATCAATAACAACAATGAGGACTCGTTATCGACTTCTGCAGGATGCTGTAGCAGTTTACTGTTTAGCAAACATCATCTAAAAAAATTGAATGGTCTTAGTCGTTTGAAGGTAACCACAGGGTAACATGGCTGGGCGGAGTCTAGTCTACGTTCACAGACTCACAAAACCTTGTACTGTTACTTCTAGTTTTACTCAACCTTTACTGTTTTAGTGTTTCCACCAAGTCTTCATGTTCACTACAAAGTACAATAATCATCATGGTCTTGTACTACAAGGACACTGCGACAGTGAAAGTCTAGACGTCTGTGTCAGTGTGTGTGGCTTGGCACGCAAGCCGCGTTGTTCCAGTACGCGTTTTTAGTTCGCAGTCACCATGGGCACCCTCCATGGTCACGTAGCCATAATTATGTCATTCGCGTAGCTTACCGGTACATGTGTCATGTATGTATTATTAATTTATTATGTCATTTCAAAAAAGTTCAGTGAGTAGATCCTGTCGACATGTCACCATGGTCACTGTGTGGCCGGCTGCGTGTGGGCCTGTCTTGTAGTGCTCACATGCCATGTCGACAAGCATACCGGCAGTGACCATGGCATGGACCATAATAATTATTATCATTATAGGCTAGCCTAGGCATATATTAGTCCATACACCGTGGCCTTGGCTATGCCGCTATGGACCATGGCATAGCCAAGGCCATGGCCCATGGTGTATACTATACTCAGCGAGTGTACATGACGGTATTGTACACTGACTGTACTCTAGTCTGTAGTCGGTACTACGGCCCGGAGCCTCTACCAACCTAACTCCTAAGAGTAAGACGAAGTCCTTGGATGGTTGTAGAATGGTCACTGTTTCCGAACACGGTGTCCTCCACCGTCAACCAACAACACGTACACTGACAGTCTGTACATGTACTTGTAAGATTAGGGAGTTACATGTACATCAGTGATATGATGGCAAGAAGCATGCATACCGTACTCGCGTGAGTAGTGCCTGGCCGGCCTGGAGCACTAGTATTAATGTCCATCAGTACAAATAATAATTGGAAAAGGGAGCAACACACAATTCCCCAGGTACCGGAACCGCCGAAGTCGCACCAACCTCTTCTTCCCATCACAGATGGGGCACTATTCAAGAGAGGGTACTATTGAAGGGAAGGCACTGTTTTTTCAATGCTGGTACATTTACGTCATAATTATAGCATAAGAACAAAGAAAGCAAAGAAAAACAGAACCTGAACTGAAGTTCACTGTAACCATTTCAATTCAACAGAAACGGGAACAAGAACTGCGATTTTGATCATGAAGCCAACAGTGCAATGCCATTGACAAGAACATTAGCAAAGGAACATCAAACTTGCCCATGCGCTTGGTTTCAAGCCCGGGTGGGCACTATTCAAGAGAGGGCCTTTTTTCAATGAAGAGAATCTGAGAATCATTGTTCATGCATGTAGAGGGAGAAGGCAAATCAAAGAGGTAGCTCAGACGGACGACTAGAACTTTCATTCTTTTATGGGTTTGGTGAGACTCCCGTGATAGGTATCCATTTACCTCTGGAGAATCCGTGAATAAACAAAACTGAAACTGAAACTGAAAGAACGAATGGATGTTTTTGCTGGAAACACCATCCACTGGCCTAGTCGTAGTGGTACATTATCATGTGCATGAACTCTGGGACAGCCGATCGCCTTATCAGGATGCCCCCCTTTACAGGTTGTGCTGCACAAGTACTACATGTACATGTACTCACTGAGTCTGTGCAAGTACAAAACAGATCACATAATCATGTTGAAGGTCCCAGGCCGGGTGGTCGGTTTAGATACAAGTGCATATACATGTACAATGTACTGTACAATGTGTTGTAAGTTGGTGTCACTATTGTACATGTTAGTATTGTTACATCGCCATGATCATTTCCATTGTACAGATCACATACTCATTATACATGTACATTGCACATGTGCGTACAGCACGTTCATCATTGTACTGCACATGCACCGCTGTGTCAATTATTCATTAGTTTGAGGTTTTCTTTCTTTTCTTTTTAGTTGGAGAAATATAGAAACGAGTATAAAAAGAAAGAAAGTAGAACTTTAATATAATGAGGGTCAGAATCAGGGCTAACACCCATACGGTTCAAATGGTCGCAAGCCTGGAGCTCTGCAAACCATGGATGGTTGTACAGTCAACTTCGCTTATAACAACTGCGGATATAACGACAATTCGCGAATAACGACAGAATTTCCATGCCCAGAGCAAAGTCCATACTACCTGTATACATGTAATGAGACTTCGGGTATAACGACACTTCGCGAATAAGGACACTTTTCTGATGCCCCGCCGAGTGTCGTTATAAGCGAAGTTGACTGTAGTTAGGGGCACTGTTTCCGAACACAGTGGTCTTCCGCCTTGTAACATATTGTCAACCAACAGCATGAATAATAAATATTATGTACTAGTAATATCAATGTACAATCATGCTATAGCTGACAACAGTTACTGTCACCACCAAGACACCATGACACTGTCGTGAGAAGGTGCTCTCTGTAGACGAGGTTGGTGAGAGAGAGCACCATCTCACCATGATTGAGGTGGTGACAGTAACTGTTGTCAGCTGACGAGCTGAGAGAGGGACGCCTTTGGCAGAAGTTGAAAAAAAGGGTTAAGAAAAACAATTCAGGCTTAAATAGCTACTAATATTTTTATGACTATCAGGACGACATCCAGTAGCGATCACAGAATACATGATTGACGTTAGGAGAAGTCTATAAAACTCCCCTGGCATAATGAGGGTCAGAACCGGGTTTAACACCCATACGGTTCAGATGGTCCCAACGGACCGAGGCTCTACCAACCGTGGATGGTTGTAGTATGATCACTGTTTCGAACAAGGTGTCCTCCACCTTGTGTCATGCTGTCAAACCAACAACATGTGTGAACTAAAACAACTAAAACAAGGTTAATCTAATCATGCACTAGTACAATAACAGTCATGTATCTTGTAAAAAAGACCAAAACAAAACTTGTGACTGCACGTGTCGGGGAAGGGAATGGAGACGCATCGGCATGGCCATGGGGCATTGTAAATGTACCGGTACATGTGCTACTGGCCCTTGCCTGCCACCCGTCGAGAGGTCGCGGGTTCGAGCCCCGCAGTGGCACATCTGACTGCAAATTCCCCACGGCGCAGCTCACCAGATCAAGGTTTGGGGCCTCTTCACTCAGTAGAGTTGAGCGAGCTGCAACTCCTGCCGTCGAAAGGCGGGCTCACACCCCTACATGGCTACTTCCCCTTGTCTATTAAACCCCCAAGACGAAAATTAATGATAGTATTTAATACAACACAAGACAGAGATTGGAAGCTTTGTTACAACTCTGAGTTTCACGTCACACTACGATCATCAGGCAACTGATGGATCCAAAACGGGCAGCCAAAACATAAGGGGGAGCAAGTACTACGTCAATGGCTCCCTATTGGTAGAGCACTCTCGCTTTACTGTTCGTGTCGGAGGATGGAGGCGCCAAAACAGGTGGACTTGAACTACTCGATGAAGAACATCCCCCTTGCGTCGCCAGCCCAGTACACAACCAGGCTTATCGAAATGGTGGAAAGCCTCATCAAGCGGATGCGTTGGCGGGCGATATTCTTTATGAAAGGGCAAGGTGACGAGGCCGATACCCCTCAGAATTCCCACCTTGCTCCCCCTTATGTTCTGGCTGCCCCTTTTGGATCCATCAGTTGCCTGATGATCGTAGTAATACGTGAAACTCAGAGTTGTAACAAAGCTTCTAATCTCTCTCTTGTGTACAAGGCTCTGCCCTACATGAGTATTGACCACTCTTCTTAATAGTAAACCGACTGGCCGAAATTAGAGAAAAGGAAATGTATCATTACTGAGGAAGGTTCAAGGACGTCCGTCCGGCGTATTGCCATGAATGCATAATTGCTATGCATTACCTGAGTGAATAATACCACACACTGTGTGACATAATCACGTCATCACAAGGCACACAGAGACAGCGTAGCGCGCCCAGCATGCAGCACACACAGAACATCTAATTATCAAGCATAATGCCATGTGCTTCTTCTTGCAACGTTTACCTCCTGTTCACTGTCCACTACAATCTACATTACAGTTCTATTTCGCAGTACATACTGCACTACACTGCACTACTACAAACGTGCCGCGGTACATTATCACGTACAAAGAGGCCTACCGGTGAGCATACACGGACAAAGACTATAATTTTTGTTATTGCAGTTGTCCTTGCTTCTGGGGTGGAAGTGATGGCGAATCCATGAAGACCGTCAGTTATATCGTCATGCAGCACGGTCTGTGCAGTCTGTTTGAACCTGAAAGAGCACGCAAGTCGCGCAACAGTTATTGAGCTACTCTGCAATAGCAGACTACTAGTACTCAGCAGATGCAGAGCGTTAGCTACAGTTCTAGAGCTCTAGCGCTCACCACTTCAGACCACCCGAAGTGGTACAAGTGGCACTTGATGACTGACGCTATTCTCTTCCACTGCATGCAAGGGATGAATACGATGTTGGAATTTGAACTACACACCAAAAATCGCACTACTAGAGTGGCACAGTAGTCAGTACGAAAGCATACCACAAAGCTTTCATCTAGATCCTGCATCCTCACCATGCACAACACTGATTCCAGGTGCTCGTATCCGGAGCAAATGTGCATGATACAGCGGAGCACGCTATGTATTACAAGCTGGCTCTCAGTTCTAGTAGTACTAGCGCACATGTAGATTATGCACTTACTACTGGTTAAAGCCAGTTTCCCGGCCATCTAGCGAACCAGTAGCTGAGCCAGTGATCCGGCCATCAAAGCAACTGGATTCCCTTGGCCATATCCACCTGACCAAGGCCATACAGTTTGTCTTTATCACTTGCAGGTAGTGAGTTGATACCATTGTTGCCATTGCCTCGCTTGTTGGAAAGACAACAAGTAGTGGGTAGGTTAGGCCTTCTTCATCTTGCTTCAAGATGGGAAGGGGTCCCGTATGTCTCCTTGTGATCCTGAGCGCGTCTCTTGGACTTGTCGACGGTAAGCTACTGGCAAAATAGGTGGCGAAGTTTCCCCTATCTACTCCAGACTGACTGCCTCTAATAGCGGCGCTAGATTGGTTAATAAAGTCTGAGGAAGAACGCCTCCTTCGGTAGGGGCAGAGGACGAAAGATGTGGTGGCAAGGAGATGTAACTAGGTAGTGGCACATTCTGCATACTGTGCACTTGTGTTGAGATGCAGGTAAAAGTCAGTTTCCCTTGCAACAAGGAAAGAAATGCTGCCGCCATTGCGATAGAATACTAGTAGTAGGCAGTAGGTGCTGGTGGATTCGGAGCACTGTGTTGTTTACAGATGTTATTGGATGTTAGTATACATGAGAAGCCAGTGGTTAAATGTACATACATGCGTTCACGTATGTTGAAGACCTTTTTTTGCCAAACCCGAAAGTTGTTCATCAACCATGTAAGAAAGCATTAAAAACTTTTTTCTGCTCCTCTTCATTCTTCGGTCATATTCCGGGTATGTAGCATGGTACTACTACTAATAGTAGTAGTCTCATCGGCTTATTGCATGACAACAGTGCAGCATACCGTACAGCATACCGTGCAGCATACCGTACAGCATACCGTACAGCATACCGTACAGCATACCGGTGCATGTACACACATGAGGGATGTGCTAGTTCAAATTATTTCTTCAATTTCCTGCAAACTACGGAATCCTCCATGTCTGGAGCTTCATGCTCCACATACCCCTCCTTTCTAGGAAATGATACTGTGTTGGGGACCTTGTCAACGCTGAGATGGCGTTCTTATACATGTACGATATGCATGAAATACATGTATGCTTGCGTATGTGTAGGTCAGTCACCGTCTGATGAGTGTTACTCAGAGCTGCGGAAAGATATCTAGCCTGTGTTGTTTTGCCTTTGTGTGTGCGTGTGTGTGTGTGTGTGCGTGTGTGTGCGTGTGTGTGTGCGTGTGTGTGTGTGTGTGTGTGCGCGTGTGTGTGTGGTGTGTGGTGTCCGTGTCTATGCTACCCACACAGTAACACACGGTCAGACCAGTCAGCCAGTAACCTGTGCCCCGCAGTCATGCTCAGACATCAGAGAGAGGTATTATCAACTGGTGGAGGATTACCGTGTTCTTCGTCAGGAATACATCGCTAATCTCACTTATTGGAGGGAACAAGTCCTCAACCCTTGGTTAGCCAGTCGAGATACGTGTACATCATGTTGTCGTAAGTAAGAGTAGGAATTGAGTTCATTTTTGGCTACGTACACAATACATGCATGACTACACCTGATTGCCCTACTACAGTACAATGTATGGTATGCAAGCCTTGATTGCGCTCAAGCTGTTTAAAACAATCATAAAGAACTTTATTGAAAATCCATGAGAATGTGATCGGAAAGATGAAAAGCTGCTAACAATGCTTGTTGGACGGTCGACAGCATGTTGCAAAGCGGAGGACGCCCTGTGTCGACAACAGTGCGCCTGTCTACAACCATACACCGGTTGGCAGAGTCCGGTGTTGCGACCATCTGAACTGTGTGGGGTCTAGCTCCGGTTCGGACACTCAGACTGTCTCTGTATGGGGTCAGTGGGGAGCGCAGTCGATAGAGCTAACCAACGGCCCTCCAACTTGGAAGGTTCATGGACAAAATTCCAAAGAGGGGAAGGTAAGCGGCATCAAACCGAACTCAAGCCACATTCCCAGGCTCTGTGGAATGCTGGCTTGGTACAATAACGGGGGCGGTAAGAAAATATACGGTCTAACCACAATTCGACAACGCAAAGCAACAACCACCTAAATAATTCGGAGCATCAATTTTGTCAAGGATAAGAAACGAAAGGGCAGCTTCGCGAGGACGAAACAAACCGAAAGCCGATATCATTACTTGGTAAATGTCACCATAATGGACGACTTACTAGTTATAATAACATGACTGTACAGAGAATCACACGACCGTCGACCGTCGACCATTGATTCGCCGTATTGTTCATGACGGCTCTTCAGACTTCACTGACTTCAGCCTAGTTCAGGTGTGCAGAACTCAGATGCTGTGATTTTCATGCCGTGAAATGGCTCAGCAATAGCATACATGACTCCTTGTCAATGTCAGTCTGGTTCACAGTAGATGTACAGTCCACTCTCCACAGACAGTCAGTTGTCACCTAGTACTAGGTCTACCTGCGGCGATTTACCATGCATGATTTACGTGCTGACCATGTGTAATAAAAATAAATAATTGACTTTCATTTTTTTAGCTCCTGCATGCTGCATTCGTTCAAATGGTTCTTTCTCGATATCGATGAATGTTTGGGCATAAACGGTTGAATGACATGGTGCGCTAGACTGTAGTAAGTGAGTGCTGACTGGTTTGGGAAGCAGTTCTTTCTGCAATTGTTCATCGTCGTGTTCCGCTCTGTCAGCTTCAAATATCCAAATCAGTTGGGCGGATGGTTGTAGATACAACGATGCAGGAAATGTGAAGTACGAATTGGGAATTACAAGTATGTCAGAAATGTCAGGATAGACTGTGAAGAAGGCTTGAAAATTTGGGATTGGCAAGGCGTGCGTGTTGTTCAGCAAACTCGAGCAAACAACGGCAGGAACAGTGTGAAGCCATATGAATGCAAACTGCACAGGTTACACGCCAAGGAGTTTGAGATTCGAAAATGTGTTGAAGTAAGTTATTTTGAAAGGAAGCGAGTTTTTACATGGCGTTTGTGTCGAGTTAAAAATCAATAGGATTTGAAAAAGAAAGGCGGGTGTTTAGGGTCGAGCCGAGGAGATTACAAGTGTGCCAACAAATTTCTATCTGTTGAGTATTGTATACAATAGTTGCATGACTACTTTCGTCTAAGATCTACATGTATACTATGTGTGTATGTATGTACAGTGCGTCTCAATGAAATCCAGTTGGGTCACTCAAGTACGCGCCAGGCGTTGCACAGCCCCAGACCTGCAAACACTGGGCTGCGAAATGATGCAAGGCGCAAACTTGCGTGACACGACTCGGGGGACTGGTGGATGCAGTTTTTGATTGGTCTGGTCATACCCTAGCCTTTCATGCTTTGTGTATGATATGGAGGGTATACACATGACTTCCTAAGGGTGCGCTCACACTATGGCCAAAATCAGGGTCCACGCGGCCAAGTTGCATGGCAACGGCATGCACTTCACCTAAACTCGCGGTCACGTTTCAAATCATTACTGCGACCACCGGATGGGGGTGCCACGACTTGGCGGCAACATGACCGTAGACGTGAAGCGTATTTTGTGAACAACCTAGCCTGAAGTATGTTCAATTTCTCAAATTCCGCATATGTTGATTCATGAAATTCGGTCGTAGTCATCCTTGACATTCACGCCAGTTGTGGTCCTCACACACACTGCCCTGTATGCATTCTTTGCCATTTTTGGAAGATGCTAATTTTGTTTTTAGTTGCTTGGTTGTCAGTTGATCGTAACCAATGTACGCGTTCAATACGATGGCAGCTTGATCCAGCTTTTAGGTTTGGGAAATCATCTTCCCTTGCTTTTTCTGTGAGGATGGAATGCCATACCTCAAGAATTTTTCTGTTCCATATCATCGGAAAATACAGTCTTTATCTCGGCAACAAACCACAGAAACCACTACCGGCATTTTCACAGGCACTTGCTCTGACGACGCTGACAGGAGAGCGAAATCGTTTGGATGTCAGTCTCTCAACAGTCCGAACCTATGAAATATCCGTCGACTTCAAGAATACTAGCCACGGGGCACTTAACATGCGAAAAAGTATATCGAAAAATGGACCACAACTTTATTAAGAAACGCACGAACTCTTTTGTACGAGCTGGAATTCCAAAAATGTGCGTCGCAACTTCACGTCAAGACATGTACGAAGCGTAGTGTGAGCATGAAGGGGACATTTTTCCGTTATGCAGGCGCATGGACGCGTGCTCATGGTTGCAGTGTGAGCGCGCCCTAAGCAGTAAGCATTTGCTTGTCTAATTAGATTTTGTGTCAATTTGTTTCTTTTATCCTGTTTTGTTGTGACTGTTTATGCACAGCTGGAAGTGGTACTGCTCAGCCCACAGCACCTACCGGTAAGATATCTTGCTACTTGCTACTGTCTACTGTATTTGGGTAGGGCATGCTTTTGCCGTTCACATGCATGTATTGTCCAGCAGCTGTGGAACGGTCTGATGTGTTGTATTTTCACTGCAATGTTGGTAGGATTGATTGTAGTGGTGGATGCACTGTATGACAAGCAAACACTGTGATGCTGACAGCCAGGTGCCGTAAAAGCCCGTGAATAAGTACCTGCCTGAAATAAATACCCCGTCAGTCTTTTGACTCTGTCTGTTGAAGTCAAGTCAAGCCCGAGAAACATACTGACCGAAATAAGTACCGGTACGGTGCGCACATGCAGCGCGTAGCATGTACATCTACATGAAAATGAAGTCTCCGCTAAACACAAGTCACACAAGTCACACAAGTCAGGTCCGAAAGTTAGTTCGTGCCCGAAAGTCAGTACCCACCCAAAAGTTGGTACGGGTGTGGCCACTAAATTCGAAAGTAAGAACTTAACGTTATTTACGGACTTTTACTTTACTCTTCTTACCTGTTGTATTAGTGACTTTCGGGAAGTAGTAGGCTCGATGATGCACTCATATCCTAAAGTTTCTTCATCCCTTTGATAGAAGCAGACGATAGCAAAAGAATACTGAGAACCAACTGAAGTTGGACAACGCCGGGGAAGGTACAGACATGTTGGAATCAACGTAGTGAGAAAATGCCTGTGTTGCTTGAGCTCTCCCTTTAAGGGAAGGACTACGTACAGTAAAACTTGCAAAGCTGAGCATTTAGATATGATCCCCACTCGACAAAGACGACTATTTTCCAATGTTATGGACGCAATCCTAGTCAAAGCAACTAAGGCAACCTCTAGCTCGTCGCGACCAACGAATACCCCTGTCGTGACCAACGAATACCCCTGCCGCGACGCGACCAATGAGTACCCCTGCCGCGACCCCGTTGCACTCTGCATGTATGCACTGCACCATTCACGTCCGTGGAGAAATGTACTGAACATCGCATGACGGCTCCTCGTGTACATGCAACGCGGTGAGTGGTCCTGCCCGATCATCACCATTGGTGCAGGCACTCACACCTATCTGTATGCTATACAACCTATACATGTATGTGTGTATTAATTCTGTAATTGCTCTCTTTTCCTTTTGTGATGTTTACAGTCACCTGTCCGCCAGGGTTCAACTTACGGGATGGCCAGTGTGTTTGTGAGTGAATGTCTATGCTACTGATGTTCTGCTGCTGTTGCTGCTGCTGCTGTCGCTGCTGCTGCTGCTTCTGCTGGTGCTGCTACTGGTGCCAACATTGCTCCTGATAGTGTCACAGTCAAGCTGAGGCTGTAGTCTTATTTCGCGAATCCCAAAGGGAGGTTCTTCCCAATAACAACGTAGCGAAGAGATATAGCATAATAAGCAAGAGTTTACTCAATCATGGTAGGCTGCCGTTACCCTTCATATTGAAGCAATTCCTTGCAGACACCTGACATGACGGGACGCATAGATATTTCATTGGTTAGTAAAATGGATATGATCTGAACAAAGACGCTGGTACTATGGGTAGCAGATGAAAGACTAAGTCTTGTTCAAAGAATGCTTTTACATGTAATCATAGTTTCTAGTACATCATACCCTTCATGGTCAGAGATGATTTGGGGCTGTCTGGACATTTGGCTTCACTTATCAGGCCTGCCGGTATCCGTGTAGAGTGACAAAGTGACACCTGTGATATTTAGTAGACCATTGATACAGCAGCACGCACTTCTCTCATATGACTAGCTGATAATGTTGCAAACCTGTGTGGAGTTGTGTGAACGTGAAGGCAGATCGAGGCAAGACGCTTGAGTGTAAAAAGCAACAGTAGACTAAATTACATGTTGTACATGCTTGAACCTTTCATCAGCAGCTTGCAAGCTCAGTGGGAGCTGGGAAGTCAACGTTAATATTTGTATAATGCAAGGGAGTTGGCAAGCAAGATCAAATATGGCTAGTGGTCAAGGGAGAGAGAGAGAGAAAGAAAGAGAGAGAGAGAGAGAGAGAGAGAGAGAGAGAGAGAGAGAGAGAGAGAGAGAGAGAGGAAGGGAGGGAGGGAGGGAGGGAAAAGAGAGAGTGTGTGTGTGTGTGCAAGTGAAATATTGCCGTCAGAGTTGTCTGGACCAAAGTTTGCTTGACAGGATTCCGCTTGTTGCGGTGAACTTTCGATAGCCTCTGGTTTGTGTTTGACAATTTGTTGGTAATGACCGGATTCAACTGCATGGTTTTAGTATAAATAATGGCTGCTACCTTTATGGAGATGTGTATTCACAAGAGAAAAAGGAGAGTGAAAACAATTGATATCGCTGTACTTATCTCAGAGTTTGTCTGAGATTAGCACTGGTAGTGTTATTGCCAGCATGGCTGCTACATTCACACCACCGATGCTTTGCATGATTTCTGCTGTCTCTTCAGCTGATCAAACTGTCTCCACTGCTCCAGCACCAACCACACCACCACCATTACCCACCAGTATGTAGCCACTTGCTCCTCACATGTTCTTCACTTTGTTTAGCCAGGGTGTACCATATTATATCCAATGCTGTAGACAGCAAGCTGTTTCGGCCATGAAGGCCTCATCAGTACAGCTACGAGCTTTAAGCAAGCCGAGCTACCAGCCATGGTGCAAAGGAATGAATTATAATAAATATTATATGTATCTCAGAAAGCTCAACGGGAAGTTGTATGGCAAGATTTTATTCAAATTGAACGGGGAACCGTGTGTGAGTTGTCAGTCACCACTCCGCCAGCTGCTGCTTGGATTCTGGCTACAGAACAGTCCAACCGTGTGACAACTTTACACACAACTACTACCCATCTTGAAATGTTTATAGCTGGTATTCTTGAAGGGTGGAAAGGACTTTTTCATTTTTCATATGTGTTTGAAAATTATTTTCTTGTGTGCTGTGTTCGTAACTTCTTGACAGCTGCCGCCCCAACTACAGCTGCTGCCCCAACTACAGGTGAGTTGGTCACTGAACAGTGGTCTATCTACTCATTTGAATATTGCAGGACAAATTGAAAGCGCATCAAGAAGTTTATACATACACGCCAGTCTAGCCGAACCAATGTTTCCAAACCAAATGTTTCCATTCCCGTCTCTTCAAAGCAACTAAATAGCAACTAAAATCGGAAAAGAGTAATTGCAGTAATTGCAACAGCACTGCCGCTGGTAGTTTTAAATAATTGTGTGTTTTGTGCAGGAGCTGAGGCTGAGAGCCTGTTTTCGTGAAATGGAGGTATTTACCAAGTGACTATTTCGTGCATATTTAAGTATTTTTGAAGATTATTCTATTGAGGAATCTGGCACCATAACATTGGTGGAAGGAGTTACTTCAACTTACGTGGCCAGGAAATTGTATTGGTTGTTTCCTAAGATTGCAGCAAGTCTCATATGTGCGATGGTCACTTATTAGTGATATCTGACATCTTACATCTCATGATCTGGCTCTTGCAATATGTTGTGTGCTTTGTGGTGTGATAGTGGGGTTTGAGTGTAATACATTTTCCTGACATTGTGCTTTTGCCTTTACAACAAACTTGTGGTATTACTCTCCGTGTTGTGTTTCATTTGCACAGTTTCTTGTGAAGTTGGCTATCGACTTGTTGGTGGATCCTGTGTCGGTAAGGATCATAAGTTGAGAAATTGTGACCTCTACGATAATTATGTTTAAGGATTGCAATAAACAGAACCAGCTGAAGCCATTTCACGAAGGTTTTTATTAAGATGTCACGAACGAATTCAAGCCTGTTTGGGTGCGTTCCTGTCACTCGTGTTGAACTTTGGTGTGAAAGTTCAAAGTCAGTTGTGTGACCAGGTGACTGGTGTACGCATGAGCACGTGACCGCTTTTTCAATCATGTTCGATTGGGAGAAAGGGCCGAACGCTGCATCGCAGCCTTCTCGGACCAAAACCAGTCAACTCAGCGTCCAAAGGACTACAATCATATGGGGCAATCGTGGTCATCCGTAATTTCAAAAGAACGAGAAATGGCGCTTGTAATGCCATTTTGCATACAAATCCCCATCTAGTAGGGCGCAATTCACCCAGTTTCGGTGGAAGTGGACCTAGACCATTCGACTCAGCACCCCGAACACTACAACTGGTGAAACATTTATTTTAGCCTTAACTTACCCTAGCCATAAGGCTGCTTCATGTTAAAAAAACCGTTTTTGATGATATTTTCCTTTTATGGGGAATTCCAGTTCAGAATTTGCTTCTTCCCGTGTAGAGGGAGGTTAGAGGAGATGGTTGCAGACTACCCGAGTGCCCGAACAAAATAATGATTACACACCGAAATGTTTGAATCAAGGTTCAAATAATCAAGGTTTCAGCACTTTTGCTAGGTGCCAAGCTGAGTAATAGTAGTGCGAACAAGCTGGAAATCTGTCTTGTATTCCCTATCAAATTTGCACAACTGCTCCGAAATCGGAAGAGTGCACCCTATTGTAAATTATCAGTTTGACCTAGAACTTCACTAGTTCCAACCGGAAAGGCACTCTCTTTCTTTCTTCGACAATATCCATACTCCCCTTAAAAAAATATATTTCAAGCTGAGAGCGTTTGATCTCAGAAGATGGACATGACTTCTCCCCATTCTCCGATACTACAGTGCGATTCCAAAATTATTCAGCAGTCCCATTGTCCCTATTCAAGCTGTAAATGTACACACGCCGTACTGCTACCCACAGTCAACTAGGAACTTGTAGCCAGGCACAGGGGCTCTGGGTATATGGATGCGGCTAATGGGGTTTCGGCACTTGTACCAGTGGTTGTGAGACGTATCCCGTCATCCCACCGTCAGACGCTGCATTCGCCGCTGGATAGCGGCTGGCGCGAGTTCCCTCGGCAACGGACACTATAATTTACTTTTTATATTTTTTACTCGTTTGTACAAGTACCGTACCTTCCAAAGTATCAGCCCTACCCAAAATGTTTGTCACGAAATACAGACATCCACTATGTTAATCACTGTTTGTTAATCACTGTGAATTTGACCATCGCAGTATAAGCCTCACTGACTTTTTTTGGGTGAATTATTGGTGCTTGAAGTGCGTCTTATACTCCGGAAAATACTGTTTGTACCAAGTAGCGTAGTGTCGTTTACAAGCAGCAGGGTTATTGCTGCTGCTCCTGCTGTGACTTCAATGATGGTGTCCATCAAATGTGTGTCGCTGAGGCAATGTTTGATTTTGTTCCTCTTCTGTGCCTATTTGACTGTGTTCTTGCTAATTAGATATTGACGAGTGCGCTGGGACTAGCCACAATTGTCCCACTGCCAGCAACTCACTGTGTCTAAACCAGCCGGGATCATTTAGTTGTCAGTGTAGACCAGGGTATACTGGAGATGGCTTCACTTGTACTGGTAAGTCAAGTATTAGTATCTTTTAATAACGTTGTTGGTGTTGTTGAAGTGCAGGCACGCACGACAACAAGTGCAAGGGGTTTGGAGGATTGATCAATAATGTCAGACTACAGAAAGTTGTGACTAGATTGTGAGAGTGATGAAGAAGGAAAGGACAGAGACTTCTATAGGCTGAAGGCAGGCATGCAGTCCATGTTCTACATTGTATATCATGTTCTAGGTGGAGTACAATAGAAAATGCTGTAGACCTTACTAGAAGAGTAGGCATGCGGATGGAGTCGTGGGTAGCACACGCCTCACTTCCCTCTTATCTCCGATAGCATGAGCCTCCCAAGTTGGGTAGTCGTTGCTTCGCATTCTTGAAGTGAGTCATGGTCGTCCTGTGCCGTGGTCCTTCGTCCTTTGCCATCACTTCGTGGTCTGTCGTCCTTTGCCATCACTTTGTCCTAGCTAACATTCTTAATTCGCTTTGGTGTTAATCTTGTTCTTGTCTTGAATGCGCTCACCTTCCCCTTTCTTACGTTATTTCACAACTTGGAACTTTCCAATTTGGAAGGCTGTGGTTTGCGCATTCTAGACGTGATGCAGCTAAGCATCAGGTCGTTGAATGTCATTGAATATCAGTACCACATCAGTCAGTGTTGTGCTCATTGTTGCACATTCTGACTCACCGGCAACTGTTACTTGCTTATATTTGCAAGTGCTGGACACAAACAATGGACAACTTGTAAACCGTTGGTCCTTCCTTTTTTTCTCTTACGTCCTTGGCTCTCAATCCGAATGGTTTAATTTACTGTGTGTTTCCCCTGTGTTTGTGCGTGTGGGTGCGTGCACGTGCATGTTTATGTGTATCTGGTGTGTGTGTGTGTGCATTTTTGATGGCGTAGGTATTGACGAATGTGCACTTGGCTTGCACAACTGTGCTCCGCTTGGCAGTCAATGTGTCAACACATTGTCTAGTTTTATCTGCTTGTGTAACACTGGCTTTAATGGAAATGGCACCTTCTGTGCAGGTAAGCGGAATGTTCCCTATTGCCTGTTACATGCCGTAGTGTGCGTACAGGTGTGTGCGTGTGCACATGCTGCGTCTTTGCTTGTGCTCTTTTCCACTTTCATGCTCTCAAAATCCAGTCAAAATTTGGCATTTTACAGAATTCATTATCGTATATTGATCGATTCAACTTCAGTTTCTGTTGGTCATGTTTCGGTGACCTGGGAGGGGGGGGGGGGGGCTCAGTGGAAACTTGCTCTGACACGCTAGACACTAGTAAGACAGCTAGGTACAATTCCACACCAAGCGCGGGTCTTGGATCAAGCGCTACAGCCGAGTGACATCGCCCCTGGACTTTATGCGCAGTGAGAGTGCCAGCTATTTCTCTTTCCTGACTCACATCAAGCTCAAATTTATTGTGAGGAGTCTTTTGAGGACATGCTCTCAAATGTTGCTGTTGCTGCTGCTTGATATTGCTGGTTCTGGTGCTGGTGCTGGTTCTTGTGCTGCTGGTGGTGCTGGTACTGGTGGTGGTGGTGGTGCTGCTGCTGCTGGTGGTGGTGGTGCTGGTGGTGATGGTGGTGCTGGTGGTGATGGTACTGGTGCTGCTGGTGTTGCTGGTGGTGCTGTTGCTGGTGGTGGTGGTGGTGCTGTTGCTGGTGGTGCTGTTGCTGGTGGTGGTGCTGTTGATGTTGCTAACTTTACTTGTGCTCCTTGTGTTTATGCGCCGGCAAGATGTCAATGAGTGTGATCAAGTAGGGAGATGTCCAGCAAATTCTATGTGTTCCAACACCATCGGCAGCTTTCTTTGCACGTGTATTCCCGGCTATATGATGAACAATGATGGACAATGTGTTGGTGAGTCAGTGTGTTGTTGCTGCTGCTGCTGCTACTGCTGCTGCTGTTGTTGTTGCTGCTGCTTCTGTTACTGCTGGTGAAGCTGTTGTTGTTGTTGTTGTTGTTGTTGTTGTTGTTGTTGTTGTTGTTGTTGTTGTTTCAAATCTTTATTCTCACGATTGTTGTTGTTGTTGTTGTTGTTGTTGTTTTAGAATTCTTTATTCTCACGATGTTGTTGTTGTCGTCGTTGTCGTTGTTGCTGCTGTTTTTGTTGCTGCTGGTGTTGTTGCTGTTGTTGTTGCTGCTGTTGTTGCTGGTGTTGTTGCTGGTGTTGTTGTTCGTTTTGTCGTTGGTGGTGCTGGTGGTGCTGGTGTTGGTGTTCTAGTGGTTGGGGGAGGCAGTTATGCTCTAGTGGTTGGGGGGGGGGGGGGAGGCAGTTATGTTATAGTCGTCATTGTTGTATTTCAGTATAGTGGCTGGACGAATCAACGACTGGTTCACGTGATTCTGTGACGCGATGTATTTGAGAGTTATATGCATTCATGGCTGGTCGGGCACCTTTAATATCTGTCACGGCTATCGGCAAAGAGATTGTTGACCTCCTGAAAGCAGATAGTAGACAAAGTCATTTCTAGTTTCAAAGCCATTTCATTAGTATCTTTATAATTATAACATCAGAAATACTCTCCTTTTCTTCTTGTTTTCAAAACGTTATTTACATGCTTGTTGACATGATATGAAATTAACTCTGTGTGATTTTTCTTTGTTGTGTATTCAGCTATCCCCACAACACAGCCAGCAGCAACACAGCCTGCAAGCACCCCACCTGCCACAACACAAGCAGCAGGTGATACACCCCCTCCATAATAATATTATCTTACTTACCCCCATAACTTTTCACTAGCAGCAATAGGAAGAGCAAATGCAAGTAGAATAATGTCCTTGCTAATATACATGTACATTGGGTTTCTTGCTAGTATGCGTACTTGCTAGTAGCAACAGCAGCATCTTCATTCTTCACACCACTAGCTATACACTGCACACGTATGTACAGGTGTCATCTATTGGTTAACTGGGAGTGCAGTATCATGAAGTACAGTTCAGTGCTGTGCTGTGCAGTGCTATGCAGTGCTGTGCAGTGAAGTAGAGTAGAGTAGAGTGGAGTGCAGTAGTGCAGTGCAGTATAAAGAAGTACAGTGCAGTGTTATCGACTGCAGGGCTGCACTCTGCAGTGTTGTCGACTGCAGGGCTGCACAGTGCAGTGTTGTCGACTGCAGGGCTGCACAGTGCAGTGTTGTCGACTGCAGGGCTGCACTGTGCAGTGTTATCGACTGCAGTACTGCACTCTGCAGTGTTGTCGACTGCAGTACTGGGCTTGTACTACTGGCACTGGTTCGTTTCTGTTGCCGATACCCTGCTTGGTTACGTGGACACAGCATTCTACCATACACATTATCCTATCCCTCCCCTTCTCCCATCCGTTCCCCTTTCCTTCTCCCCTTCCTCTCCCCTTCCCCTCCACACATGCCTATGTGCATAGATAAATGCCAACGAAAGTTCGAAAGCCTGTGTGCATAGATAAGTATACGGATGCTAGTGATAACGGGATTCTTTCTTTCTCTCTCTTTCTCTCTCTCTCACTCTCTCTTTCTCACTCTCACTCTCTCCCTGCGCCGTATTGACAAGAATCTGTATAGAGCATACCTCTAAGATACCGGTCTTGTCATGGATGCAGAGAGGCAAACACATAGTATTGTGCAATAGTCTTGATCAGCTGCCCCATGCCTTTATTTGCAGCTGCTTGTATTTTCAGAGGTGGACAGTTGAACGGAGTGTATGACACTAGTTTCATTGCCAGTACATGTATGTGTGTGGGGTGGGGGTGGGTTAGGGGTATGTATGCATGCCTGTGTGTTTGTGTGTTGGGGGGGGGGGGCATACCTGTTTGTGTGTTTGGGGGGGGGGGGGGCATACCTGTTTGTGTGTTTGGGGGGGGGCATACCTGTTTGTGTGTTGAGGGGGGGGGGGGGGGGTGTAAATGTTTGTGTGTTGAGGGGGGGGGGGGGTGTAAATGTTTGTGTGTTGAGGGGGAGGGGGGCTATGTGAGTGACTACTAGCATTCCATGCTCTCGTAATTATTTTGTTGTGTCATGAATTGATTGCAATGAGTGAAACAGCAGTCATATTGACAGCAGTATCCATGTGAAAGTGCACATTAATCGAATTATGCTGCATCTCCACCCTGAGGAGCTTATACCAGAAACTATCATCATCTGAATGTCCATTTGAGTTCTCTGGTATCTAAGGATGCATGTACTGGTTGGCCATTTTTTGATCAGTTGTTGATCAGTTGTTGATTGGTAAATCAGTTTTGTTTCCCAACCGACACGATGCTCTGATAACACACAGTCCAAACAGTACGAGTAACTGAGCTGCAAACATGACATGAATGTTGTGTCGCAACCAATGAAATGCTGTACTATGGTTTGCAATGTATCACTCACTAAAAACAACATCAAAGGCTGTTGCCTCATAATTGCCTCCTGCGTTAAACTTGGAACTGCAACGAATTTATCATTCTCATCTACTTGTAAGTTGTATGGCTTACTACATGGGGGGGGGGAGGGGCGGGGTGGGGGGAGGGGTCGGGAAACATTTCAG